CCCCCCCCCAGAAAGACGGTAAAAATATGTATATATATATTTAGATATTTATAAACCGAAAAGCGGTTTATATTATATATTTTTCTCTATTTATAGAGAAAAAAAAAAAAATTGCTGTAACATAAAATTCTAATCATTAATTGTACGCTCGCAGGCAACGTGCGGGCCGAAAGTGCCGAAAGAGCTGGTGGCGTTGAAGACCAACAGTTTACAATGGTCCAGTTTCTACGTGGACCCGACCAGTCGGTTGCTGAAGGCCGGTTGCGCGTTCTACAACGGCAAATGGTACGACGTCCCGGTTGTGTTGAGCGTTTCCGGGCAACAGGTCAAACTCAACGACGTGTTGAACAATCACTTCACGCTGACCAAGGTGGCGCAGTTCGTCGACCGCGTGGAAACGGAATTTTCCCCCGGCGCCGAAACCGGAGAAGGTGAGTGTGGACGAGGGCGGACGCGGTCGTTCTCCGAGTGAACCGATGGGTACGATAGGTGCGATCTATTAACAGGCGCCGGGTTTGTACCGGATACGCGCGTGTACGCGCCCGTACAGAAAATGTGCCGCGAGGTCGTAAGAGAAGATATAATTGCGTGTGTGCGCGTGTGCGCAGTGCAGACGAGGAAGCCGGCTGCGGGACGTGTGGACGTGTCGAGGGCGGGTGTTTAATATAAAATCGGCCCCGAGTGGGACGAGGGCGAACGTAAAGGAAACGATACAATCACGGTCCGCGTGACGTTATCATGTTAATAGATTATCAATGTTGTAATAACGCTATACTTTCATTATAGTGTTTTATATGTTTACGGGACGTTAAATAACAGTAGCACGCCTGTTACAGCTTACGTGACCCTGTGGAATGCGCATCGAGTGGAAGCCATTGAATCGTATTGCAAGGAATACAACGCCAAGTACGCGGACGTCACTAAGGAAGCCGGTCTCATTCTGGTGGAAACGGTTAACCTGCTGATGGGCCTGCAAGCGTCGGACGTACGCCGGTACAGTTTGGAACCGCTGGTGGTCACCAGAAACCGTTTCGGCGCCGATCCGACCGTGGCCGTGGTCCAACTGGAAACCGATTTCGAGGTACCCAGACAGAACTATTGTTATCGTATTAATTATTGAATAAAATGCCGTGATTTTCGCGATCGCGATGCACATTTCCGGCGATTCAATCGTGTATCCAATACCGTGTTGTTTTGATCCCCGCAGGCGAACGGCTGCTCGCTGCCCGAAGTCATGTTGAAGGTGCTCAGACTGTTGGCACCTACCTGGGAGATGACCGTGTGCCTGTCACAAGTGTTGCGCCAAGGCAAACCCAACTCGCTGTCCAAGTGCAAGGCATTGCTCGAGTTCTGGCTGTGGGGACCAACCGGCGTGACCGCAGTGGCGGCCGACCGACCGCTGTCCCTGAAAAGGTAACCACACTAGACCTACGTACGTAACCTCTGTAGAAACCGCACCCGGGGTGGTGGGTAACAGCACACACATAGATTACGAACCCACCCACGAACACGGATTATTGTTACCAGATGGTTGGACCTGGAACGCGCCAATAACTTGCACGGCCACGTCTGCTCCCGTTCCGTCGTCCTGTCCGTCGAAGAGATATGTTTCATGTTGTTCTTGGTGGCCAATGACGAAAAAATGTTAACAGACGCGTGGACCGTACTAATCGATCAAAATATGAGGCCGCCCAGCGATCCCGTGATCTCTAAATGTTAAAAACGGAACCATAAATAATTATTTTCTGCTCTCCAATAAGTATCAACAATTCCATAGTAGGATTTTGTATTTTTTCCTATTCTTATAAAACTTTTTTTTTTTTTTTTTTTGATACTGTCGTTGTAGTGATCATCACAACTACTTCTACTCAATTACATTGATTTTAAGTTAAAAAATGACTGTCGGATAAATTATTTGTATCTAATTTAACCGTTAGTTATTGTAATTTACGCTCGTATAGTTGTACGTTTTCGCTCATTAACTGATATTATTTGAATTTGTAATAATTTATATTTTTTTTACATGTAAGTAGTTGTGGAGTATAAATTTGCAGCAATATCTGCCATATTAAAATGTTAAGTATTTTAAATTTGTTACTTAGTATAAGTATTTATTTATTGTAAAAAGAAATGAAACAAAAGCTCTCTATTTTGTCAATTATTATTATTTTTGTATGAAGAGTTTTACTTAAACACAATTTATTATAATTTATATTCAATTTTGTGTTGTTATATCTACTTGATGATATAAATTTAACTATGAGATATATTATTTTTAATTATATGCATATTTTTTTACATGTTTACTATCGCCTATAATTTTTCTAATCCGTTATTATGAAATTGTATGTACCTACCACGGATTAAAATATACAAGATATCAAACGAATGTGTGGATAAGTGAATTTCGAACCTTCTCACTTTTGGCAAGACCACTAACATCGTCTAGTGTACTATTTACAAACTATGTCAACATTTATTATTGATACTTATGCAATTTATTACACTTTTGTACTTTTCCAGTCTTAACTTTAAACTATTATAACTCATAAACGTTAAATCTGATATTAGTATTATGCGTATCAAAATGTCTAGAAAAATATTCAAATCTGTATCGAAAAGGAGGATTCCTACTTAAAAAATCGAAAATGGTTTTAAAATAAAGCTTAACTGATTCCATAATGATTTAAAAAAAAAAAAACAAATCGAATTCACTTAAAATTCTCCGAGAAAATTGCTGGTTCATGATAAAAAAAAATCAGCCTGTACATTGTTGAAAAATCAACGCTATCAACCGAACTGAGCTCAGAATCGTTTTTTTGTGTGCTTCAAAGTTTTAATGTTCGTATCAGTATCATAGGGCAATTATATTAAAGAAAATATTGTATTATGTATTACTAATTATAATTGAATTACCTTGGTAACAAAAAAAAAAATGTTATCTAAATTAATTTATATGGTTTTACTCATTGTTTGAAAAGAACGCATTTGATTATTAAACGAACGAGAACGACTTTTTTTCGTTCGTTTACCGTTAATTGTATAGAAAAAGAGTGATAGCGGTGATAAACATTATTATCAATGATACCCATACGGCCATTACTCTGTTCAAAATGTCCAAATAACTAATAAGTTACAAGTTTGGAAAAATTGAGGACGAAAACGCGTCGTAATAATATTTATAAATAGTTATACTGGCCCTCCCCTAATGGAACAACTTTATTTTGTATTCGGTTTTTATTGTTTTTATTATTCTATCGTTTTTACATTTTTTACAGTTATGATTGATTTTTTTTTTTTCTTACAACTTATAAGTTATTTCTTATTCTTATCAGTTAACACTCCAGCGCACAGTCTTGGAAGGTCCATACGAACGACAATTGACGTAATATAAACGGACTGAGCGTAGGAAGAGAAACCGCGTCCACGAATGAGACGGAAGCACTGAACACTATACACGGAACGCGCATTAGGCCGCCAAACTTGACCCCCCTCCCCTCCCCCCGCCGGACAGCGCCATATTCATTCTGTACGTGGAATAAACAATGATCCACGGAGAAATGTACCGGGTGTTGTTATAATTCATGATAATAATGTGCGTACTATAGTGTATTTCAGGAATTACACGGACACCTCCTAGCCGCAGAGCGTACTCTGTGTAGGTCCAGCCTAAGGGTGTACCCGCTGAATGCTGTCGGGGCCCCCTACTTGACGATCGATCGGAAACAATCGTTGCCGATCGTACGCCGCGCGCTGTCGTCGTCACTGCCGCCGCCGTGCGTACAGCGGGTTATAATATCCACGACGCTTATCGCCGAACAAATCATAATATACACGCGTGCGTACACTGTTTCGGTCAAATTAACGGGCAACGCGGACAAATTTCATTGGTTAAAACGTAAATCGTAGCGTTTATTCGAATTAAAACGGAGCACGTGTGCGGGGAAACACGTGTACGCGGTAAAAGGCCGTTAAAACAAAACGCCGTCGATATATTCTGTACTGTACGTGTGTGCGGACGGTGGCGAGATCGATAGGCGGGTGAGTGGATGTACCGATGACCGGGTGTGGAAGCACATGCGAGAAAACAGACGCGTTTTCGTCCGCCGCCGGGTATACTATTACTATTGGACCGTGTATACATTAAAAGGCACCACGAGTTCGTCGAGAGAGCCGCCGGTCATAAAGTGATGGTAACCGATTTTGGTACGGTTACGATTCACAGTGACCGGTGAGGCGGTGAAGATATTTGTTTAACTTGCATACTTTACAGATGACTCACCTCACCCATCCCCTATTGTTGCAAAATAATAAAAAGACACTCATTTTGTACGATGGACGACAAAACAACGACAGCAACAGCATCTTAAAAGTATACGATTATAACGATAAGTGATGACAAGACGTTGCTCCTGGGAGAAATAATCATTCTGGAGGGGTATCATGAAAAGACGTTCAACCGATATTCACCGTCATATCCGAGATGGTCACATTTTGTCACCGATTTGTAACCAGCGTGACCGGCGAATCTAAACGAATTTCATCATTTTGAAACCGATTCCAATTTCGACACGGTTAGCTCTACTGCAACATGATTAAACTTTAAAATGATAATTCTTACTGTTTATTCGAGTTTTTTTTTTTTTTATCGATATCTATTTACTATCATCCTATGGGCTATTTCTGATTTTCGCATAATGTAATTGTTATTCTCTGATATAATCAGAGATTATTCGGTTTGTTCACGTTTTTCGTGGAGTAAATCGCCATCAGAATCGATATGGCGGCCTCCGATCGGAGGACACTTTTAAATACACAAATCATATGCAATGGCGCGTTCCGTATATTCCAAAGTTCAATGGTTGTAACCAAACGAATTTCTATAATGTGTTTTCTTCATCGGAGAAAAGTATTTTCTTTAATCGTCTGTCCCATTGTATACCTTAGATCATATACAATGGACCATAAGCCACGCGTATAATTGTTCTAGCACCGAATTGTGTCCAACGTCATCCCTCCTACCTTCAAAAATTTCACGTTACACGACACAACTGCGCATCCCAGAAATCAATACCAAACAATTTGGTTTTATTTTCAACGTTATCACTTGTCATTATTACAGTATCATTACGTCATAAGCCACAATCCGATTTCTGGGCATGCGCATTTCGTGAAATTTTAAAAGTGGCGGAGACGATGTTGGACACAATTCGGCGTACGCATAGCTACATCCATAGTAAACGATCCAAGTTACCAAACCATAGACCTTTTTTAATCGAATGGACTGCACATTAATAATATTTCGTGTCGGGCACAATAAACTCGGGGCGGTCGTGGACAAAAAAAAAAAAAAAAAAACTATTCTTTTCCGAGAAAAAATTTACGGCGACAAAATGTGACCATCTCGGATAGACGGTGAATATCGGTGACTTTTCATAATACCCCTCCAGAATGATTATTTCTCCTAGGAGCAACGTCTTGTCATCACTTACCGTTATAATCGTATCCTGTTAAGACGCTGTTGCTGTCGTTGTCCATCGTGCAAAATGAGTATCTTTTTATTATTTCGCAACAATAGGGGAGGGGGGTGGGGTAAGTCATCTGTAATGGACTGCACATTAATAATATTTTGTGTCGGGCACAATAAAATCGGGGCAGTCATGGACAAAAAAAAAAAAAAAAAAAAAAAAAACTATTCTTTTCCGCGAAACATCTAATGAGTTATAACGAGTCCTATAAACTCCTATAAAGGCCTATAGACCCATTAACAATAGGTTAATTTTTTATAGGTCTATGTGCGTATCGAGTTGTAATAACTACACCGTGATCTGATTAGACAACACCGACGGTAACGTTCGGATATTTTATTGTACAATTATATTCGTAATAGTAAACCGGCGCGGTGTCAAAGGTCGTTCGAACAACACTAAAATTCCGGGAATCAAACTCCGCGGGTAAATCATTTGTTTGAACGTCATATTGTTTTGTAGCGGTGTTAATAATTTATTCGAAACCATAAACTTGGGTACCGAGAGACAATACGGGGACACCGCCGAATGGGGACTGCTGCGATAAAAACAGTTAACCCGGAGTCTGTGCGTCCAGCGTTCGGTACAATACGCAGCGGCCGTTTTAATGATTCCCGATTACTCCCCGTTCGTGGGGAGTCGGGCAATACTTTGCGAGTAAAAAAAAAAAAAAAAACCGCCGCCGCCCCGAGTGTGTTTAACGCAGCAAGTGCGCTTTACGCTTTCGCTCCGCATCGATAGAATATCGTTACGAACAACAANAACACTAAAATTCCGGGAATCAAACTCCGCGGGTAAATCATTTGTTTGAACGTCATATTGTTTTGTAGCGGTGTTAATAATTTATTTGAAACCATAAACTTGGGTACCGAGAGACAATACGGGGACACCGCCGAATGGGGACTGCTGCGATAAAAACAGTTAACCCGGAGTCTGTGCGTCCAGCGTTCGGTACAATACGCAGCGGCCGTTTTAATGATTCCCGATTACTCCCCGTTCGTGGGGAGTCGGGCAATACTTTGCGAGTAAAAAAAAAACCGCCGCCGCCCCGAGTGTGTTTAACGCAGCAAGTGCGCTTTACGCTTTCGCTCCGCATCGATAGAATATCGTTACGAACAACAACACGCCGCATACGTACTAATAAAGTCATTAAATATTAAAAGAAAAAAAAAAAACAACGTTGTTCGCCGAGATATTAAAAAACGGAGGGGTCTCGACGAAACCGACGGATGACGCATGACGCACGCGCGCACTCGTGTAAAACTGCACGAATTACGTTCCGGACTTTTCGACGAGACGACGGATCGCCGGGCATTACGGCAACAACGCGTGTTTCTCCGGAGTCGCCCCGACTCCCCGTACCGGCCAGGCCGGCGTGGTACCGGGTGGTGTCTTTTACGCGGTCAACGTACGCGCGGACAAGCTGCTGCAATAGCGTTCCGCGTCGGCGACAATTATCGGCGCGTCAATCGTGCGGAAAGCGCGGTCCGCTGGCCAACGGGTGGTGTTTAGACCCAGTTCTCGCCGCGCGGTACAGACGGCAAAGCGGTCTCGGTCCATTCGTATTTGTGTCAACGGTAACAATTGATAATATTTTGATACCCGGGGATTTTCCGGCAACGCTTTACGGGCGCGGGACGGTTAATGCGTTCTTTTTGCGGCGGCACCGTCAGTCGTCGTCCCGCCCGGACGGCCGACGTCTTTCTCCCCTCCCCTTAAAAACCGCTGCGCCGGACGGTCGGCCGTTGCGCTCGCCGGACAGTCGGCTCGTTCCTCCGCTCGCTCTCTCCATCTCTCTCTCTCTCTCTTCTCTTCGGTAGCCGTCAACGCCGTAATTCGGCGCCCGAATCGCGTTATTATTCCAGACTCATACCGTTGACCGAACCGCCGCGTCCGTGTTGGATTATCGAACGTCGCGAATTATACGTCATTTTTTCTGGCAATTCTGGCGTTTTACCGTCGGCGACGTTCACAAACTGGCCGCCGTTTCCTCGTCGATTCCGGGGCGGAAGTCTCCGTTGTCCCGCCGGATAACGGACCCCGCACGCCGGGGTTCCGACATCGCCCGTACCGCAGCCAATGACACCAGCACTCGAACGGTCGATCTCGGATTTCCCCGGACTTTCGAAACGGCAGATGTAACTCGACCGATCGTCGGCGCCGATTTCCCGCGGTGTCCCGGGCTATTGCGTCGGCAATACTTCCGGTTCGCCGTTGTTATGCTAGACCGCGAACGCCCACCTACCGAGCCGCCTCGCACGATCGCCCAAAAGGAGTTCCAGAACACGCGTGCGAGCCAGGGCCATTTGCCGTCGTCCGTTCAGCCGAACGCGTGGCTCGTCGCGAGGAACGGCCGGTTCGTTCAGGCCGTGCGGCCAATTATTGTCTGTCGTCCAAACGCGGTCGCCGAGTCCGAACGACGCCCGTTACTTGCCGCATTCGTGCGGACATTTCACCGCACACCTCGCCGATGAGAAATGGTTTCGGAAATTACGCGGCCGTCTACTGTCGCTACGGTGAATGGCGCCCGGATGGCACGATAAGCTTAATGGCGTACAGGACAAAACACACGTTTTCACATAATACGATTTTATATTTTTTTTTTTTCCCCCCCGTTCGATTTTTGGCCATACGGTCAAAACCGTATAATGTGAAACGGGCATTGAGCTTTACCAAATTTCTTGGATAGGTTTAGTGAAGCCTTTTCTGGTTATGAAATGATTAATGGACGTTCAAAAACGTAAGTATTTAAAAACAAATTGTGACTGATACAAGTCACATACGATAAGCTCAACTTCATAATGAATTAACCTAAGCTACTGAGCAGCAATTCTGGAAAAATAATATTTAACATTAAAATTATTGAAAAGTTCTGACTATTGATTTATATTGTGAAACGTCATTATGTGTACGGCGCTTTATGGATTCTTTATAATATACAATTTTTCCAATGTTATTTGCATAATAAATCACTTGGACAAATGATAATTTGACAGAATATACACAGCCAAATCAGATATTCGTCCACATTATAGATTACTCACCTCTTACTCCTAAGGTCTTTTAGACTTAAAGATGTACTGCGGCTGCACCTAGGATCGTTTCCAATAGTAGTTTAATTTTACTTTAACGTATATTATTTTCCTTAAATGTTATTATATGGTACAGCCAAATAAGTTTTTTTTTTTTTTTTAAATAGTTTTTTTACATATATCACAATTAAAAGACTTCTCGCCTGTATGAATTAACTTACGCCGCTTTAAATTGGCCAATTGAGCAAATTATACTCCACAAACATCACGGGCATATAGTTTCTCTCCGGTATGAATTAAATTGTACCGTATTTGTTTGAAGAAAGTAATAAATAATCCACAAGCATCTCATTCAAAACTGATTATCTCTAGTATCAGTTATTATGTGTACTATCAATGTTGATTCGTGTCTAAATGATTTATACTGAATCTGTCAAATAACCAAATCCCGATTATTCACATAAAAATAACGCATATGTCATACAATATTACAATGCAATCGGTTATCTACCCTTGTAGTAACAACTAATATTCATTAAATAAGGACAACAAAGTAGATTTCAAACAATTTCCCAATGTTATTTTAAAAATATCATAAAGCAATTTACGATACCAAATTGATTTAAAATTTCTTTTTCATATTTATCCAATACTATTCCATAATAATTGTATTTGAAGACGTATCAAGTGTAGCCCATTATATTAATATAACCATTATCTCATAACTATAAATTATATTTAAGGTTGGTTAAAAGGATTGATTTATCAAAATTATCCAAAAGTGTACTTTAAAAGGTCTAAATGAAAAGTAAAATTTAGATTATTCAATTTTAAAAAAGACATTAGTATATTTGTTTTTTTTTTTCTTATGATCTCTCCTTATTATTATTATTTACATTTATAAAAAATATTTTCTTCCTAAAAACAATTTTTGCGACCTTAACAAATCTGAAAATTGGGGAACATTATTAAGCCCCGAGGAACACAATATTACGAGAAGAATTTTTATTTTATCAGATATTCTAAAAAACACTTCTATACAGTTTATATTATGTTTACCTATATCAAGCATATGTGATTTAAATTTTTTTGTTAGAAAATTATACAAATTTGATTTATAGTTTTCATACGGGGTGTTATCGTATGATAATTATTTTATCAGTTTAAGTATAAGATACATTTAAACAGTAGCGAAACGAACGTGAAATAAACCAGAATCAAACTATAATTTACCCAATACCTACCCCTAAATACTCCTAATATACTATATTATTTTCTAATATTTTTACAAATTGGTAATAAACAAGAACCACTAATCTTTAAAAACAAATCAAGAAGGAACTGCTTCTCAAAGACTGCATTCCTTTTTCCACTGTACCTAGGACCATTTAAAATAGTAATTTAATTTTGCTTTAATGTATATTATTTTTATTATATGTACAGCAAACTAAGTTCTTTTTTTCAAAGATTTTTTACATATATCATATTTAAAAGGTTTCTCTCCAGTATGAATTAAATTGTGCTTTTTTAAGCTGAACATTTGAGTAAATGATATTCCACAAACATCACAGGCAAATGGTTTCTCTCCAGTATGAGTTCTTGTGTGTACTATCAATGTTGATTTATGTCTAAATGATTCTTTACATACATTACATTTAAAAGGTTTCTCTCCAGTATGAATTAACTTATGTCGCTTTAAATTGGGTAATTGAGTAAATGATATGTCACAAGTATCACATCTGAAAGGTTTCTGTCCAGTATGAGTTCTTGTGTGTAATGTTAATGTTGATTTATGTCTAAATGATTCTTTACATACATTACATTTAAAAGATTTCTCTCCAGTATGAGTTTTTATGTGTAATGCCAATGTTGACTTATGTCTAAATGAATTTTTACATAAATTACATTTAAAAGGTTTCTCTCCAGTATGTATTAAATTGTGCATATTTAAGCTAACTGTTTGAGTAAATGATATTCCACAAACATCACAGGTAAATGGTTTCTCTCCAGTATGAACTCTTGTGTGTACCACTAATGATGATTTATGTTGAAAGGGTTTTTCGCATAAATTACATTTAAAAGGTTTCTCTCCAGTATGAATTAAATTGTGCTTTTTTAAGCTGACCAATTGAATAAATGATATTCCACAAACATCACAGGCATAGGGTTTCTCTCCAGTATGAGTTCGTATGTGTAATGTCAATGTTAATTTATGTCTAAATGATTTTTCACATACATTACATTTAAAAAGTTTCTCTCCAGTATGAATTAAATTGTGCATATTTAAGCTGGTCATTTGAGTAAATGATGTTCCACAAACATTACAGACATATGGTTTCTCTCCAGTATGAGTTCTTATGTGTAATGTCAATGTTGATTTCATTTTAAATGATTTTTCACATACATTACATTTAAAAAGTTTCTGACCATTATGTATTAAATTGTGCTTCTTTAAGCTGGCCAATTCAATAAATGATATTCCACAAACATCACAGGCATATTGTTTCTCTCTAGTATGAGTTATTGTGTGTAATGTCAATGTTGATTTATGTCTAAATGATTCTTTACATACATTACATTTAAAAGGTTTCTCTCCAGTATGAATTAATTTATGCCGTTTTAAATTGGACAATTGAGTAAATGACATGGCACAAGTATCACATTTAAAAGGTTTCTCTCCAGTGTGACTTCTTGTGTGTACCATTAATGATGATTTATGTTGAAAGGGTTTTTCGCATACATTACATTTAAAAGGTTTCTCTCCAGTATGTATTAAATTGTGCTTCTTTAAGCTAACTCTTTGTGTAAATGATATTCCACAAACATTACAGGCATATGGTTTCTCTTCAGTATGAGTTCTTATGTGCACTATCAATTTTGATTTTTGTTTAAATGATTCTTTGCATACATTACATTTAAAAGGTTTCTCTCCAGTATGAATTAATTTATGCCGTTTGAAATTGGACGACTGAGTAAATGACATGCCACAAGTATCACATTTAAAAGGTTTCTCTCCAGTGTGACTTCTTGTGTGTACCATTAATATTGATTCATATCGAAAGGATTTTTTACAAAAATTACATTTAAAAGATTTCTCTCCAGTATGAATTAACTTATGTCGCTTTAAAATGGACAATTTATTAAATGATGATTCACAAATATCACATCTAAATAGTTTTTCTCGGGTAATTAGCTTATGCTGATTTGCATGAAACGATTGCGAAAAATCACAACTATTTATTAAATCAGTTTTCTCTTTTATTTCAATTGCTGGTATATTTGGTTGTTTATTTTCTTCTTCAGAGGTACCAGTAAATCTGAAAAGTTTTAAAATTGTTATTTATAATAAATTATTAAGATCACAAATATACATAGACTGCCAAATAAATAAAGTACAAAGTTATTTTTAGCATGACAAATATAACACATAGGCAGGAAATTTCTAACATAAACTATGTATTCTATGTATTATCACCAGGGTTCATAACTTGATCTCTAAAACTGGTTGTTAGAAACGCAATCACACATCACGAAAAGTATTAACTTCTTTATGTCATTTTTGGTCAACCTTATGTTTGGGAATAAAACCATTACTTACTTTTGATTTTTAAATGGTAATCTATATTAAAAATTCAATAAACGGTTAGAGTATTAATTAAAATAAATGAAAATTCAGAAAATGGCCATACAACTTGATCTTTCAAATTAACTAATGTATGTATACCCTATTTCAAAAGAGAACATCGCTTTCGTGACAAGTTTCTTTTGGAAGCTTGACTGGTGCTACCTGGTGGAGATGCACACTGTTGAATGAAAACTTGTCGCGAAAGCGGTATGTTCTCTTTTGAAACAATGTATACATCACATTGTCCATGAGAAATTAAATTTTTGTAAGATCTGCACAAGTTGAGTTTATGAACGCATGTTACCGAGTACTTTGATGGAAAATGTGCTGTGTTCCTCTAAGATAGCACTTTCAAATTAATCTATCATTGGAAAAAATACATCAATTTAAATGGTGACAATGTGAAAAAATAGAAAATAATGACCTATTAAACGTGTAAACATTTGAAAGTAATAAATTCATTTTTCAGTATATTTGTGTACCTTATTTATGGGACAGCCTAGTAAAAGAAATCATATCTTTTATTAAGATAGTTAGGTGAAACTCCAACTTCTTTTGAAAATAGTATAAAATATGTTTAAAAAAAAAAAAAAAAAAATGTTTAATTTTGATTATCAGTTATATAATATAAAACATATTCAATACGTAAAGAAAATATATAAGATTAAATTGGTTTTATTTTATTCAAATAGAAGTTATTGAAAAATAATTTAAAGATACCCATGCCCTGATAAGGGCAGGTTTCATTGTAAACTTTTCTTCCAGTGTGCATTATCATTTTAATTTCGATTTTAAACAAAATGAGCTATCAAAATTGTAGCATGTATATTTTTTTTCTAAATATTGGTTTTTTGTATAAAATTAATTCTATAGGATCATTTGTTAAGATCACTGTTAAACTCACAACCATTTATTAAATCAAATTATTTTTCATTTCAATTGTTTGGGTATTTGGTTGTTTTATTTTGTTTTCTGAGTTAATCCTAAATCAAAAAAAATGTGTTCGTGCCGACCCCAGAAGGTGAGACATTTACTTAATGTAACCAAAAATATTTAATGCTTAAGGCAAATAGTAATTTAAAATTTAAAAATATATGTCAAAACAGAATACTTTTAGTCTGCCGAAGGTGGACTACCCACTATCCTCCTATTTGTTTTTATTCATTACTGACACGGTCAAAACCAAAAAGGAATATGGGTAAAAAATAAAAATAAAAATTGGCACAGGCAAGACCGGGCAGGACAGCTAGTAGTAGATATATAAAATGTGCAATATGGACTAACAAACAACATTTAAAATTAAATTGTTTTTATGTTATTTAAATAGATACTATGAAATGAGATATTAAAGATACTCACTGTAGAGGGCAGTTTTCATTGTCAACTTTTCTTTCAGTGTGTATTATCATATGGCATTTTAACTTTGATTTTGAAAAAAATGAGTTCCTACAATTGTAGCACGTATATTTTTTTCTTTTAAGTTTTGGTTTTTTATATAAAATCGATTCCATAGGATCATTTTCTATTGTAATAACACTATGAAATTCATAATCATTTATTACATCAAATTCTTCTTTTATTTTAATTGTTTGAGTAATTGGTTTTTTTATCTTTTCTTCCTCTGAGGTACTCATACATCTGGAAAGTTTTAAAATCATAAAAATTAGTTTTTACCATAATAACTCATTAGAGGTTCATACAATAAAACATTTTATATGAGTTTTAAAAAATATTATATAACAATTTGTAGATACCTACTCAATATATATATAAATATATATATATATATTTATATTGTATAATATGAATATCAGAAATATAACAAAAATCATATTTGTTCGATATGGTGGGTAGAGATGGGTATAATAATAACAGATGGTAAACTCAAACAAAATTACTTTTTTTTAAAAAAATAATTCAATGGTTATACTTGTTCTAACAAATTGTAAACAGGGTATTGACAATATTCTGACAGAATAAAAATTATCAAGAATTTAAAGGTGTAAAATGAAAACTTATGGTTTTAACAATGGCAAAATAAAGAGGTAATTAAACCAAAGTTAAAAAGGCTTGTATATCTAATTATTTGCATTGCGAATAAGAAACAATACACTACATTCTTTAAAATATTTGTAACATTTAAATATTAAAGTTTATATGAATTGAAGACTGAAGTATGTAAATAATGTATGCAAATAATATAAATTATTAATACATCTTAAAATAATAATGTTTTTTTAAAATGTGTACAATACAATCAATTTATCGATAATTTAATAAAGAAGTTATTAGTATTAACAAACTAATTAATGATAAAAATAAACTAATTATTATAATTAAAAATTAAGTAATAAAAATAATTTATTACTTTAAATAAATGTTGGTGTCAACAGTTTTTGATTTCCGTTAACCCATTAAGTAGATATTCCACTTTTAAGTTTAGATATGATGAGATTAGTGGGNAAAATGTGTACAATACAATCAATTTATCGATAATTTAATAAAGAAGTTATTAGTATTAACAAACTAATTAATGATAAAAATAAACTAATTATTATAATTAAAAATTAAGTAATAAAAATAATTTATTACTTTAAATAAATGTTGGTGTCAACAGTTTTTGATTTCCGTTAACCCATTAAGTAGATATTCCACTTTTAAGTTTAGATATGATGAGATTAGTGGGGTACCATTTGTGTGGCGGGATGTGTTTTATTAGTGATTCACTACTCTCCCCTACCTAACTTAAAAGGGTGAAATATTTCGTCAAACGATCGAAGGAAATCAAACATTTTAACACCAAAATCTATTTAAAGTGATAGTCTGTCTATTCATAGAATTTTAGATTCTGAGTGAAGCGAGGAATGTATTGGTTTTACAATGATGTTTATATTATTTTATGTGAAGACTTTTTCTACCAGAAAGCATACTCCGATTTCCAAGTATAGCATCTTTTCTGAAAGGAAATGTTCTCTGTGTGGTACTTTGGAGAGGTCATTTTTTGATATTCTCATAAATATTATAAATATTCGAGATAATGACAAAAGCCTGATTATTTAGGTTAAAAAAGATTGAAAGATTAAAAATAAGGTTGTCATTGGCAACCGTGTTTATTATTTCAAATTTCTTTTGACAATCGTTGTTGTCATGGAAACGCGCATTGTTGTAATAATTTTACGAATACATAATATATTATTGATAACACTATCAAATGAACTCCGCTCGGAATCGTTTTTTGTTAGCAATGGTTTATCGTTGCTTACAGATGTACGTTAAATTCGCCACCTGCGAAATTGGCTGCACCTACGTGCAAAGTATGTCCGTCCTTTTCAAATATTATTATTATTATTATTATTGTATTCTATGTTAACAATACGGATTAGGTATTTCCAATGTACGAGTGTTGTTTTTGAACAGTACCAGGCGGGGAGAATTGATTGGCGGATAGCGTCAAGGGCCAGTGATATAACACAGTAGAAATTGAATAAAACATTATTTCCATCGTGCATTGAACGTTTAAAAGAACGTCGTTGTTCAAAATAATAAGGCACCAACCGGTCTTATTTATATACGAAATTATTACACAATGTAAGGTAGTAACGAATACACTTACCTATTTTTATAAGTATAATTGTTTAAAATAGTCTATATTTACCTTTCCTATTTGCATTAAAATAATAATTATCAATACATTTGCTCACCTCAAATTTGTCGTAGATTTCTCGGCGCTTTGACTAATCGCCATTATCATAAATTGAAGAAACAACGAATTTCAATAATAATACAAAACTAATAATAATACGTGGGACAGAAGTTGTTTTCCGTTATGCTCAACGCGACATTTCGTTCAGACATTCCCATTCGAACAATTCCAAAATGGCTCCGGTAATTCAGCGCAGCGCGCCCACAGATAGACAAAACGGATTTCGCGTAGCCGTCCGTACACCACACTTTGTGGACTGCGGCCACAGTGGAGAATATGGCAGTGGCTATTTCAGTGTCCGACTGGTATCTACCAGCTATTTCCGCGTCTTGTGCTGCGATTGGTCCAAATATTAATAAACAAATTTTTATCTCTTCACCTAATATGATTACTGGCTTAATTCAAATTTGAATTGTGATATACTTACAATTGGGGGAAGGGGGCGGGCCATAAACCAGCCGAATCGTCCGAAACTCTACTAATTATCAACTCGTACATTTCTTATCAATGTTTTTAATCAGAAAATGTTGCACTAGACAACTCGGATGTTTGAACGTCGATATCTTGAACCAAAATTGAAAAATTTGAAAGACCGTTGAAAATGTTGAGTTCCAATTCAGACGCAATTTCGAACGACCGAAAAATAATGAAACAACATTTTGAATATTTTCGACGACGATAATATTTATTTAATAATCAAATTTAAAATTATTAGCTATTAATTTTGATTTCAACCTTTTGTAAGCATTTAAATTATTCGAGCGTAGTCAAACATCCGCTTGCACGTATTGGATTTATTATCAAAACCGAACCGATACATTTTCCAATGAAATTTATCGATTAAAAATACAAAAACATAACCGGGTTGCTCGGGGCATCTGGTTAAATTGTTTTTCGTTTTAAAATAATACGTACGGAATTCCTCTCCCTTTGTATTCATTACGCGTCGCGCGTTATCGTTTCCCTGAAGTTCCGACCTTATCTCTTTATTGTTGTCGGCTGTAATATTTTCGGTTTAAAATACTATCGGCTCAAACAATTTTCCGTTGAAATACGGTTCGGCTGATCTGATTTTCGGTTGTTTTACGCGCTCCCCCCCGTAACTCCCTTGTTCGCTGTCTAGAACATTTAATAATACCACAAGTTGAAATAGTATTACCACGGTTTTAGATAAATTCTTATGCATTAAATACAAACGCGTGATTGAGTGGAGCATTAAGTATTATAGAATAAGAACTACACATCCCACAAATAAGACAATTATTTTTCTGTTTTTTTCCTGATTGTTATTATTATTATTCATTTACATTTTAGTGAATTATTTTAATATTTTGTAACGGCAGAAGCTATTCAACCAGGTGTCAAATATTAAAAAAAAAAAAAAAAAAGAGACGAATTTTGTAGCTTGGTAGATTTATAGGGAGCCAGAAAAAAATGTTAAGAAACGGAAAATTGTAATTTATGTAAATTTAACTCTAGGGCAATAAGAGGTGCTAAAAAAAAAATTATTAAAAAGAAATCTGAATTCAGAATTTGAATACTTCATATATTAAGGTACACCCGTAAACAACGATAAACCATTGCTAACGAAAAACGATTCTAAGCGGCGTTCAATTGATACTGATACTTTTTCAACAATATATATGTTATATTATTATGGTAAAATATTTAAATAAGCATTACATATTTTCAAGTATATTTTCTTTATTTATATTTGTTTAATGTACCGATTTTCCCGTTTTTTCAGATTTTATGAGAAAACTCGAGAAAATGAGTTCTTTTAAGAACCTACCCACAACGATTTCCTTCCAAAAAAGGTGCAACACTTAAAAATCAGAGGAAGATTTCTAGTAGAAAAGTTGTCCACAGAAAAAAAAACATCTTTGAAAATCCATAAGCTTTTTTGCTCCACTTAGAATCTAAAAGAGAAAGATTTTTAAAAATTAAGAAAACGCAAATGTAGTAAGTTTGTTTGATTATATAAAATAAATTAAAAATACTATCTACCAATAATTAGGTCACTTCTTATTTTAACTTTGTGTTTTTTTTGGTCACTAAATGGGAAATTAAGTTACATAGGTCATTGAGCATTAGTTATTTACAAAACCGTACTTAAAGTTAAATTCTTTATGAATATAAATGAATGAATTGTGGGTTTTTATTAACAATATTACCTTATAATATTATAAATATTAAAAACTACAGTAATAAGTAAGACAAAGGTATGAAATTGTACCAAAGCTTTAAATATTGAGAGATGTATACAAATTTATTGAAAAAGTATGTAAAAAAAAAAAAAGATCCTGATTGTTCATTACATTACACATTGTTTAATTTAATTGAACAAGTAACAAAGCTATTCAATATAATGAGTAAAAACTAGAAATGTATAATTTTTAAATAAGGTATTATTGTAGCAAGGTAGCAACTATCAATAAAATGATACCATAGTTTTTTTTGGACCTAGTCTTCGAACACTGACAATAACAAAAACAAAAACCAATGATTTTTTTCTTTTTGCTCATTATGAATTTTGAATGGAGTGACAGGTGTATAAAACAGAGATAACTTTTTTTTTTTGCATTTTTTTGCTCGGTACTGGGTGGGTGGATATACTTTTGGTAACTGCATGGACTGTCAAAATTCCTCTGTTTATTATAACTTACAAAAACAATAGCATACAATAGTAGGGCACTATAGAACATGATTAAAGTAATAGCATGTACAAATAATGAAATCAATGCAACACATACTCAAAATTTAAACATTTTTTAACATTTAAATTCGCACCCTACAAATCACTCTAAAATATATTCATATAATAATTCTACATCAAAAATATACAATTTTTAAAAATTAACATCCATATATTATTATCAGCTAGTGTTTAAATAGGATAAAACTCGGATAAAAATGTTTTTAATAATATTTGTCAAAATCATTATTTTGAGTTTTTTATGAACAATAGTGATTGGTTATAACTGTTGTTACATTTTGTCATACAGTCCCATGGATTTGATGCTCTGAACTCTGAGGCTTCATTGTTATTAGAAATCTTTTTTTTGTATTTTTCTTTTATTACCTTGGTATCAATGATGGACCGGGAACTGCTATGGCATTACTTCTGATTCGCCACCATTGTTTATTGCACTGTATAAAATGAATAATTATACAGTACAATATTGCCTCAGCTTTCGGATGTTGGTCCATACTAAAAATACAATTTCCCACTAGTGCGCAGCAGGATAATTCCCTGCCACAGTGACCTCAACAATACAATGTGGCTTGAGTTAACAGCCAAAATTTACTGTTCCATAAACATTGTGCTTAAAATCATGATGCAACATAAAAAAAAAATCAATGTGATTAATATTGTTAACTAAAGCATGTTTTACTCAACTTTAGTTGTTATTTAATATAGACATATTTCAAGTAAGTTCCTACCTCTATTTATTTAGTTTTATTTTTTGTATACAAATAATTATAATTAAAGGATTATTAATAGTCCATTATACATTTTTTATTTTCTGGAATGATCAATAATATTTTTAAATGGTGTCATTTCTTAAAGCATTTATTATTTAATAATATATTGGCATTTAAACATTTCCTAATGTGTTTTATTTGTTCCTAATTAAAACTACTAAGGTACCAAAGAAAATTAACATAAATCCATGAATCCTTTTAGTGTTCATTAGGTGTCCTAACAGATTGAGTTCCTAGGTTTTGTTCTGACAGGTAAACAATTATGTCCAGAAATCGAGAAAATCAACTAGTGATTGTACAGATTTCCATTAGGTAACAAACATATTATGTTTACTGTAAAAACAATGCATTACTCGCTCCACTCAGAATCTAAAATATAATAGGTACTAATTTACAATAATAAATTTTAGGGTTTGAACATAACACAATCACAATACAACATAACACTCTTAATAATTTGTTGGTGACCTCTGATTGAGAAACACTGTTTTACACCATAATTTCTTGAAAAATCATATTAAACAAAATGAACAAGCACAACAAATATCATTTAAAATATACATTTAAATGATTAATACATATTTAAAGCAAAATAAATTAAATTTATTTAAAAAAAAAAAATTAATAGTTATCATTTTGCTTCTAAAATTAATTATCTTTTAAATACAAAGTTATATTCAGATTTGTTCTAAACATTGTTTTTTTAAAAAATTAATTAAATTGTTTAGTTCGTAATAGTCAGATTTCTTAGAACTAGAATCATACAACTCATACAATGATGGGTTCTCATTAATTTTCTTTCCCATCACAACAACAAAAGGAAATCCTAATTTTTTTGCTTCAATAAATCTTTTCCCAATTGTCATATGGGTTCGATCATCAACAATAATATCATCTCCAAATATTTCAATCAAATTATTGTAAAGGCCAGATAAATTATTTTGTGAAACATTTTCCTCAATACTTCCTTCTTTAGCTGGTATAATACAAACGGTAAATGGAGACAATGACCTCGGCCACTGGATAATGTTTTGTGTACTTAAACATTCCACAGATGCCCCAATTATTCTAGAAACACCCAAGCCATAACTGCCCATGTATGGAGGTTTTAATGTGCCATCTAAATCTGAATATTTGGCACACATAGCTTCCGAATAAAATGTACCGAGAAGGAATGTATGACCAACCTCGATAGCCTTTGTACACTTAATATCAACACTAGAGCATTTGGGACATTTTACCAACTCTGGTGAGATTTCCTTATTGATTCCAAATCCACAGTTTTTACACTGAAATAATGTATCGTCTCCAACTTCAGCTGGATAATGAAATTCGTGTGATTGACTGCCACCCATCATTCCTGATGACCCATCAACTGAAACCAAATTCCCACATTTATAATTTACCCAGGTTTTTTTTATAACAATGTCTACCTTTAATATATTTGACTCCAATATGATCAAATATCTTTTCGTAGGCTTGACAAACTTTGTTGTATGAAATAATAGCACTTTCCTGATCTCTATCGAATGAATATAAATCCTTCATAAGGAACTCTTTGGATCTGATGATTCCTAACTTGGGCCTTATTTCATCTCTAAATTTTGTACCAATTTGATATAACATTAAAGGCAGTTGTCTGTATGTAGTAGGATCTGAACTAAATAAATTTGTAACGACTTCTTCATGAGTCTGTATAAATATATATTATAATATAATAAATATATAGCTTATTAAACACTTATTACCGGACTTAACAGGAATTCTTTAGATTTTCGGTCCTTTAAAATATACAAATCTTCTAAATTTTTACTCAATCGATCTAAAAAATAAAAATAAACAAATGTTACTATTGTAGAATGATTACTAATTATTAATTTCCTATTTGGAGAAATAGAATTAAAATATTATTTACACAAACTTTACATCTTTACCCTTTAATAATATCAAATAAAACCAATTTAAATGTATACATTACATATTTTATAATAATATTATCATACAGAAAACTAATTAAACTTGTTAATTATGGCACAAAAATACAAATTTTAAATCTAGTTAACAACTGGTATAAATCTAGTTTACAACCCAACCTCATTTTTAAAATTTTTTTTTTACTATACATTAGGAAACTAAAAGTCTGGCAAACTTTGTTTGGAAATTATGGGGGAAAAAATTTATGAAGTTCAAGTTTTCCTTTTCATATATTACAAAACATTATTTTTTTTCCAAAATGCGTGTTTTTTAATGGTTAAACCATTGATATAATTAAAACTTACCAATCATACTTACTTTTATAGTTATTTGACATAAACCTACATAATGCTTCTTCAGTTTACCTTGTTACTTACCCAAAATGGTTTTGCACAACAAATTGAGGGTTATTTTCGAAAAGTAAATATGAAAGGTAAGTTTTGATTATATCAATGAATTAAGCATTGGAAAAAAAAAATTTGAAAACGTCAAATTCTAACAAAGAAATACGTGAAACGGAAAATCCGAACATTAAAAAATTTTCCCCCATAACTTCCAAATAAAATTTGTATGACCTTTTTTTTTAGATTCTTAATGTACAGACAAAAACACACATTTTGAAAAAAAAAAAAATTGTAAAATGAGCTTGGGTCAGTAAATTGGTTCCAAAAAACAATATTTTCTGTAAAATAAAATTTAGGTTTTTAAAATATATGAGAATTTGGTTTTACATTTTTAACAAAAGTTTAAAACACCTAACATCCTTGCTGTGTGCATTTTTTCATATAGTTATTAGTAGTTAGTTACAGTTGTTGGTCGTAATACAATCTAGCAATATTTTTATATTCTATGACCTCAACCTTCTATACCTATTACACCATGCTAATTTTTTATTATACAGAATTTAATTAATTTGTTTTTTAAATTTATTAAGGTTTCAACACATAAACAAAATATCCTAGATTACTACTGTATAATTCTTTTGAAATTGTATCTGTAATTATATTTTATTATTTAAAAAAAAAAAACTGATACTGGGGATGAGAACGGTTACTGTTGTAGGTGAGAAGTTAGGAGGGAAGGTAGGATACATAAGGTTATTTCATTTATACCTGTTAGTAATGATAAACCATTACTGGACGAAAGACCATTCTGAGCGTAATTCGGTAATAAATTTTTTTTGCAATTTTCGTTTAAATTTGATTTAAAAACGTTTATTAAAAAAAAAAAATTTGTCCTGATGATTTTGTAAATTTTACCAAGTTTCAAGTCTCTACGTGTATTTATAACTAATTTACAGCAAAAAACTTACAAAAATTAAAATTCCTTAAAATCTCAAAAGTGGGTCAAAAGTTTTGATGATGATACTGTAAGAAAGTTAATTAAAAAGGCAATAAAAAAGGTATCTTGTAATTTTTTGATCTTGTAGAATCATTTTTTCTTGTAGAAAATGTCGTTTGTGTTTTTATAAAATAATGAAACTGTATGTTTTCCTACATTTTTTCCCATTTGTGCTTTTATTTAAAAAAAGGCGTCGAAAATCAAAAAATGATCACTTTAAAATACCATCTTGACAACTAGAATTTTTAGAAAAGTTGCTACACGTAAAAATTGGATTAACTTTACTAGGAAAGAACATGTCCATAAACTAGAAGAAATAATAAAAAAAAATAAACATCTTAGTAAAACCAATAGCTCCCTTGCTACGCTTAACCGGGGTAACACAAATCAACAAAAAAATTGTATTTATTAAATTATAAGCTAAATTATTTGGTGTTGTTTGTGTACATGTACATATATAAGCAAAAATATTAAAATTATTATTGAAATAAATATTGAAAATTAATGGATTGTGGTAGAAGGGTGAAAAATATTTTACGGCCTATTCTCAGACTAACGAAACATACACAAAAAATTTCATGAAAATCGGTCAAGCCGTTTCGGAGAAGTGTGACCATATACACGCGACATGGAAATTGTATATATAAAATGTATATATACCTATATATAGATTATGGAAAATAATACTTATTTCTAAGCCAAATCTTAGTTTTTTATTAAATAAAACGTAAATATACATGCTCAAACTCAGTAATTTCTTTACATTAATAAAACACAGATTAAAATATATTTTGTTTAGTGAGTTTATTAATAATACCCAGTATTTTTAAATTGAAATTGTTATTGTTTAATTTGCTTTATTTGTATTAATTGGTATAAGTATAGTTTAACACCTCCTAAACTAACATTGGAGGAGGTATCTTTGCAGTTTTTAAATAATTATACTAATATAATATTTACTTGTTGTTTTCCACAATTTACTCTGTATCAATATCGGCATAGTAATCTTTTGTGCTCCAATTTCCATCATATTTTTATTTATAATTGAAATCAATTTATCTATAGACCGTTGTGCAAATGGTAATATATGGTATAGTCCATTGGCACTTTGTCTGATAAGACCAAGTTCTAGCATCAACTGAAATTAATAGTTTATATTAATGTTGTACAGGAATATATTTTATAAAAATAATAATTAATATTCAACTTTTTGACTATTGGATATGAGTTCATCTGGTTTAAATGAAATATTGATATTGGTGGGCTTGATGGGTCGAAAAATACTTTTCAGGCTATTCATTACTATTTAAATGCACTTCCAGTTTTTTATGGGTGATATACAAATAGGTAATAAAATCACACTAAAATAATATAAATAAACAAATTAATTATAAAGTATTTAAGTATAATACAATTTAAGTTTCAGTATACTATAAAACTGTAAATGATAATACAAATTATGATAACAATATATACCAGAAGTCCTGAAACGTGATAGTGTTGATTAGTCCATGGGTTCATTTTGTGATAGTAATATTATCATTAGAACTCATGAAAATAAATAGATATTAGGTATTATACTTGCAATTTTATGTTCACAAATCACAATAGTACAATAAATACTACATAGGTACCAGTTAAATGAATACAAATCAAATGGCATCTATTAACTTGACAATATTAACATAAATGTTCATACATCTGGGTTTATAAACATGCAACAAAAATTATATGGTTATTGAAATAAAATTAAAACAGTTATTTATTTAATATTTATATTATTAAATATTAAATGAACAAACAGGTAATCTAAAATATATATATATATAATATACAATCATTTAAAAAAAAATCCCATACATAACAGATACAATGGCACAATAAACAAAACATATTGAAATAATATGTATAGATATTCAGTATTTTAACTATAGAGATAATAATAAAATAGAATGAATGAATAATTTACATAGAAAGTACTACACCACCAGATTCTTGTTTTACAGCTCCCAATTCCTCAAGTAGTCCCGGCAAGCCATCAGGAATCCTACCTTCGTCAACTTCAACACACCATATTCTGTACTATATTATAAAGAGTCAATTAAATTTCAATACACGTTTACACAGGTATTAATTGAAATAATGTGTGTATTAATATGATAAATAAAAATGTCGAAATAGGTACTTTATCCAATTCTTGTCGCAAGGAAATAACTGCTTTTTCGCGATCCGTTACCAACTCCTCAAGATACTGGTAACGTAACTTTTTCCTGGCACGACATTCGCGAGCACTTTGCCGGCTCCTCTCTAATGTCATATGAAAAAAACATTTAGGATGGTGTCTGATCACTAAGGAATCGACAAACCTAGTTTAGCTCTGATGTCTACTTTGTCACTAGATTTCTTGCCCGGTTTCCGTCCTCTTTTGTTGGCCACGGGCGGCGGTGTGGTTGTAGTGGTGCTTTCTTTCATTTCCTGGGCTTGTTCCTAATAACAAAACAAAACGATGACATTCGTTTGACATTAGGTTTGGACGTATGGTAAAAAACAGCGGCCTTCAGCGATGAATTAATAAAATAGTAGCTTACCACTTGGACGAGACCGTCGAAGTCATGAGGGTTCATAAACGATTCTTCAAATTCCATTGTAATTGTTGTACGGCGCTGTTAAAATTATTAATTGTGTAAATTTACAGTATCGGTTTATAAGTCGCATTAATTCTATTTAGAATTTAAAACGCGCGAACACCCAATGTTTATAAACAACAGTAACAAGTCGTGACAATGATAAGGACGTTCATTTTTGTTTTGTCCGAACAATAATATTATTATTATTATTTCACAATCGATGTTTTTCTGATTAGGTTATCGATAGTTTTATCATTTCAACATCGATGGTTGTAATATAAAGTAGGTACGACGAACAATCGAGTATTCTTCGGAAAACGCCTTTACTGTCGTTAGCCTTTACTTCTTTAGAACGGCATTTTTTTAAATTTTATTTTCAAACAATTTTAGTTTTAGATCCCTACTTAGACGAGTTGATTGTTTCATTTATTGGGTAGGTATTTTGTTTTTTATTGTAACATCGTAATACTGTAGGTAAGTACTTATAGGTAATAATATTTTAAACGTATAGGTACCTAATTATTGGTCATTTAAACCTCGATTTCTAATAAAAAAAAACAAAGACATTTAATTTGGAAGTGTAACTTAAAATATTATCATTTTATTTTTGTGATAAGTGCCTACTTACTATAACCATTAATTATTATTATAGGTACCTACCTAGGTATTAATAGTGGTACGACCTCTTGGCCATTCGTTGCATAAATTTGTTTTTTTTTATTATTATTATTTTGTTCATTAAAATCGTTATCTAATAGGTAAATATAATCTTATTACCTACACCGAATATAATTCAGTATGTTGATTAAAATAATATTGCAACGTAATAAAACGTAACCGCGAAGAAACAGGTTCTCAAGTCGTATAGTCGTTTTGAACAAAAAATAAATACCTACGTAGGTACCTGTTAACCGAAAGGAGAGATAAAGTAATAGTAAGTACCATTTCTAAACCGTTTGGGACGTCTTTAGGGGAGCTGCCACGTTAGTTACCACTTTTTTCAATCGATTATTTTTTTTTTTTTAGAATTTAGTGGTATTAAATCAAGATTGCGAGAAATTCGATTTTCGACTTTTTTTATTTTTTTCAAATTCTTATCACTTCACTAGGTAAATCCGTAGGTTTTCTACTGTGTGATAACCGTGTTCGTGACAAACCGCAGGATTTCTCGAAGATTTCGATTTTTCTGTGTCGAAATTATGTTATAATATTTAATGCACTGGCTTATCTAGTGGGAGAAGGTGATAAGGGTGATATATCACTCCCCCTCCCAAAAAAAACCAATTTTTATCTACGTTTAGACATTTTAAGACAGCTATGGATGCCCTTTTAGTCTGCAATAAGGAATTATTTCCAAATATTAATTTTCTTTTTAAAATATTGTATAGGTACACTTCCTCTATCGACTGCTAAGTATCTACTCCAGAACGTTCATTTTCTAGTTTTAAACGTGTATAAAAACTTACTTACGGAATAGTATGCCAGAAGTATGTACTCTGGTTTTAATTTTTAACTCGAGTTCAATTCTCTACCAGTTTACAAAAAAGTGACAATTTTTTTTTTCAAACAAGATTTAATGGATTAGCTGCCAAAAAACTAAAATTGATTAATATTTATGGCCACGCAGCGTCCCGGTTTTATTATTTTAAAATGTTCAACAAAAATGTTTTCTACCAGAAATATTACTCCAATCAAAAAATAACAAGATATCGATTTTGTTCCTTTTAATACGTAACCATTGAAAAAGAATATCCGTTTTTGATATCTAAAGTATTTTTCATGATAATAGGAAAAAACCAAAAAACAAACATACTCTTTAGCTTTCTATTATTATATAGCAAATATTTATTTCCTTAAATTCTAAAAAAAAGTCATACTAATAAAAAGTAGTTGAAAAAATGAAATATTTAAATTACTTGTAAAATTAAAATCGAAAATCTATAAAGTGGGAAAATCGATCTCAAGTAGACTTCACGACAAATTCAAATCTGCTTTCAGAATATCTCACGTGTGTAAGACAAAGACTGAAATTCATCGCTTCATTAACCTGAACGCGGGTAGATTCCTGATTTCCGATTTACCGATGGTAAAATTAATTAAAAATAATCGTGGAGATCCGACATTTTCACCAAATACTTATATTATTAGCACTTTCTAGAAGCGGTACAATTTTCAAAACCGTTTAGAAATTTTTTGTCTATTTCAGTTCACTAAAACAATTTATACAAACTTAGATAATACATTATTAATCTTCTTTATAGTTGTAGTAAAATGATAAGGTGCTATATATTTTATTTATCTAAATATTGAAGGCGAGTGAACATCTTTCATCGAAAATTTCGCAACCTTCAATCGTTTAGATATTTTGCATTTTGCATTTGTCCTTGACATGAAAATTCATTGTTGAAAATCAAACCGTGATAAATACTATCCAATACACACATTTTATTATAATACATAATAGTATTATGTACCGCATGATGACCACTTTGCATTGGAAATTAAATCGGTTGTACACCTACGAGCTTGTCGTGCAGTTTAGTTGAACTAAATGTACATAATATGTACCTATACCTATATAATATAATATGCTGGAGATTTCGTTCTTTATTTTCAACAAACCAAAATCGATTAAAATAAACAAACGAAAAACGATATTTGAATAATTCATATCCATTAATAATAAGCCGGTGTATATATGTACAATGTAATACATGTAAACAATATTGTATATACTATACAATATTTTGCGAACACGGTAATTAATAATTGTTATATGATTATGATTTATGATAAACGTAATGTAATAATAATAGGTACATGAATGGAATAGGAAGTATTGCGAAAATTCATGTTCGAGGTTAGACTCTCCTAGTTTAAAAAAAAAACGGACTTCCTTCGTACTGTGTGTAGGCCACTGTTGTAGGAGCAAAGTTGGGAAGGTATAGGAAATATAGGGATATTAATTAATATACATTTCACATAATGCTACAATAAAGTATTGCAAACAAAAACGATTCAAAGCGGAGTAGTAAATAGTTACTGTTTTTTTGCACTAGGTTAGGTTATAATCACAATATCTAGGGACCTATAGAGATGAGTAAACTATTCACAAATTCGATAAATGTTTAAAATTAACTGTTATCGACCGGAATGATCGCATCTTCTTACGTACGGTATTAACAAATTAGAGCACACCATATTTACTAATGAAAGAAGTATTTTCTCGAGAAGAAAAATACGTGCTTTCTATACTCAGCAAGCTGAGAAACTACAAAAATAAAAACTGATAGGCAATACTACATGGCATTTTTAATTGTTTAGTTTTTATTTTTAGTTTCTATTTGGTCAGTATGTGTTATAAAATTGTTGAATCAATAGAAACCAAACAGTAATTTAGTAACATTTTTACCTAGAACTTCACTCTTATCAAAAAATTATAATAGAGCTTTTTGTAACATTTTGGATTTAGTTGGTGCATTGGAAGTCGTTTTCCAATATACATAGGTATAGTTAACTGTGTGTTGATGGATCGATAGTAATTTATTGCGGACATTTTGGTTTATAGATGAAACCGTTTCTTGTGCAAAATAAATAAATATTTGTCGTTCAATGCAAAGCACAAACATGATACACAAGTGCGTTTCCACACCATTTGAATAAATATAACCACATTTTGGTAAATGTTTAATGGTAAATACCTACAGCTCATTTATTATTATTAGGCATTATTTCAACGTCAACTACGTCTTTTAACGGGATATATTCTATTTTAATATTAGACTTGTAATTATAATTACACGCTTTTGGATCCTGAGAATAGCAACTAAGGAACGTATTGATTTTACTATGATGAACTTTTTTTTTCGTATCATAACCGACATCAGTAGGAGATCTGTTTTCACAATACTTGCCCAATACTGCTAACGTTTATTAATAAATTACAATAATATATACGGTTTTATATAAAACCTGTTTTCATAATCACGGAGCAGGCTCACATGCATACGGATATAATTAAAAATATAATTACAATGAGTTAACCTAACTTAAATCTACGTTGATGCAAATTATGACTCAGGAGGCTTAGTCTAACTAAAATTTTTTAGAATTTTAGATGTAGCTAGTGTATCGAGGAAGTCATTTTTCGGTTTTCTAATGAGTTTTCAAAATTACTGAGAAAAATCAGAAAAAGATGTATTGGAAAAACGGACAAATATTTACGAAGCACCGCGGCGTTACCTACCGATTTCATTATTTTTAATTATTACGCAATATGTTTTCCACTAGAAATCTTGCTCCAATCAAAAATCTACAAGACAACTTTTTTGCTTTTTTGTTGAATTTTAAATCTAGTTGATGAGTAAGATTTCATATAACTTTGTTGATAGGTAATTGACCAAACTTCGAAAAAACGTGGAAAGAACGAAAAGTTTACGGAAATACTGGTTTCATAATTATCAATTTTGTTTTTTGTTGTAATTTAGTTTAAAATATTCGCAGAGACTAGGCATTTTGACAGACGAATTAGACGTAGTAAAATTTTGAAAACATTTTAAAAAGATATTTTAGCTATTTACAGGCACTTTATACATGTATAAACGAATTTATTTCATAGTTTTTATTCGGTAGATAATACGTGGATAACATTTTTTAACCAAACAAAAATGCTTGAAAATGCTTCAAATTTTAATATGTGGTTCATTATAAATTGTGCTTTGTAATTTAATAAAAAAAGTATAATGTATTGAAGTAATTTTTTTTACATACCAGTTTTGAGTTAAAATTTTGACGAAAGTTATAAAAATCACAATGTTTTCTTGCATTTGTTCATACAATAGTACTTCGCTCAGAATCGTTTCTCATTAGCAATGGTTTATCGTTTCTTACAGATATAAATAAAATAGCTTTACGGATCCTACCTCCTCAACTTCCCACCTACAAAAGTGGCACACCCGTTTCTAGTAACAGATTTGTTTTAGGTTTTTTTTTTCATTCGTTCAATTTCAAACCAAAATTAAATAAATACAAATTGTTCAAAATATTATTATTTATACGGATGATTAATTTATAAAATCAAAAATTATGGACCTATTTAAATACACAAGTCAAATGAAAGGCCTCGTTAGTATTAATACTATTGACTTAAATATACAGAAACTATAAATATTCTTTTTTAATAATTTAATTATCTTAAAATGCAATATATTTCAGCGAATAAAACGTCACAAAATAAAAAGTTTTATTATATTTATTGAATAAAAATTTGCTGCATCGGATCCGGTTTTTAAATTTCTGAATGGTTACAGAAACGAAGTTTTTACTTTGTATTCGTGATTATTTTTTATCACATCCCCTTAATTACTGTCAATTATATAGTTTGTGTTACAATTTCAACAAGCTGAATAATTAAATGTTTAAAAAACGCGATTTTGGCACTTTAACAATAATATATATAATTTCCATGCAATTTTAAACAATATATTGCCTCAATACATCGATAAATTTCTTAGTATATTGTGTAATGTATGTTGTTTAACGTTAGTTATAAGAACTATCTATTATATTTTTTCGTCATAATATTATATACTCGTAGGTAGTAAAACGATTTGTAAATAATAATATTATATACGTACCTACATTTTTTTTTTTTTATGTGTGTCTCATTAAGTGCAAGTTATTAACTTTTGATGAAATCTAATTTATTAAAATGTTTAGTTCGATAATACGTACCTACGTGTAAATTTTGCGATAATCAACATAATAATAACGTAGGTAATGGATTGAATAAATTATTAATAATAGAACGCGTTTTTTTTTTTTTTTATGTTTAATTTTAAAATAAATAGTAGTTATATGTAGGTACAAAGTAATATTTGACCATCTAACCATTAAAAAAATAAATAAATTTCAATGGAAATTAATATTCTGTATATTTTGACCGCGATGCAGTTATAATAACGACTAATTCATGATTTGATTTTTAATAACGTACTACAAATAAGTTAATAATAACAATAATTAATTACTAATAATAATAGTAAGATGGTATTAACGATTTTTTTTTTTTTTTTTTTTTTTGTTTTTGACACGATAGGTAGTAGAGGCGCTTGCACCACAATTTCTGACCCAGTCCGACCCGGCCAGGTTGGAAAATAAACCGGCACGGCTCTGTATTTTTTTGGCATAGAAAATCCAAAAATTGTTTTTAAAGCCCAGCTCGGCCTGATTTTTGCTGATATAAAAAAGCCGGTTCAGCTCGGATTTTTTCTTGTCATTTTCGAATAACTGTACCACGCTGGTTGTATCCTTGATGGTATTTGGTTAAAAATAAAATTTAGAAAATGGTCAATATGTTTTTGTGAAACTTTAATAATTAAATGCCGACCTGTATGATTTTGTAAAAATTATCCTGGCCCGGCCGGTATAATAAACAAATTAATATTGTAAAGCCTGGCCTGGCATACATGTATTTGTAAACAAAAAAGTCTAGCTCGGCTCGTCCCGGATTTAAATTTAAAGAGCCCTTGCAGGTCTTTAGAGGCAGATTACTTGAATCTGTTCACACCAAAGATTACGTTTATCGAGGCAATTATTTCTGAAAATAAAAAAGAGACAAAAAGTTTAATAATATTTTTGATAGAATAGATTAAAAGCAATAATCATAGAGCTCATATTTAAATAGATATTAGAAAAAAAAGAGTTGATATTGTTGATTGGTATGTCACTATTGTAGATGAGAAGTTGTTAAAATAGAATGAATAAAGTAATTGAATTTATAGTTGTATACAACGGTAAACCATTGATAACGAAAAACGATAAGGAGAAAAGTTCGATTATATATGTTTAGAAAGACCGTAATATTTACGATTTTCCTTAAAATTTGATGTTAAAACTTTTATAAAAAAAAAATTAGTTTAATATATATAGTATGTTTTTTTTTTACCACTAAGTACGACTTAATAATGAACAGAAAAGTTCAAGAAATATTTAAAGTCTCTCTTTTAAAGATCGAAGGATATTTAAAATGTTACAAAATATCTTTGATGCAGCATGTGATGGTAAAAATGGGAAATATATCTAAAAAATATTAAAAATGTTAAAATGATTCTAAGCGAATGATTTCGATTACACATGTTTTTAAATTATGTTATTTAACGTTTTCGTCAACATTTGATCTTAAAACGCTTATTAAGAAAATACTAAATTAAACTCATTTTTATGTTTTTCCTAATTTAAAAGAAAATGATTTCTACGTACAAAAATTGGACAACATTTTCTAGAAAAGATGTTACTCTTGAAATTCCGATCAAGATTTCCGGTACAAAACTAAAAGGAAAATATTTAAAATTACGAAGTCGTTACACCGTAAATATTTGTCCGGTTTTCTTATAGGGACGTTTTTTGGTTTTCCCAGTTATTATGAAAACCGCTTGGAAAATCATAAAATAACCTAACCAATTTCTCAACAACATCAAAAATTAAATTAAAAAGTGTTTTTTTATTGTTAAAAGATAGGAAAAAAACACACATCATAGTAAAACCAATAGCTGTATATTACTCGTTCCGCTCAGTCTAACATCTGCATGCTTATAATTCTGCTTGTACACAATTAACTGTCTGAAATATGAGGAGTGACATTCCAATGTGCACTAACGGCATTCAAAATGTTTAAGAAACCCGATTTTCTATTGTGAACAGTATGTGCATAATTTGTTGACAAAACCAAAGTATTAAAAAATTCAGAGAAATAAACTAAATCTTTTAACAAGTCAAATTACTGTTAATTTGTGTTTCAAACGATTCATCTACAAATTAGTAATTCGATTGCGCTAATCTATACTACTTCCACAGGTACCATATAGTACGCATTTTAGCTTAACCACAGCATATTTTAGATAATTTTTAGCAAAATTTGTTCAACTGCTCGTAGTGCACTATTGGCATACAATAGATTATAACATTTTGACGTATCCACGTTATCATAGAATACAATTTTGATTTATTTGAATAATATTTATTAAAAGCTTGCTTATAATATGAGTTTCTGTGTATAGACTTATAATGAACCTCCTGTTAAATTTTCAAGTTTTTCTGTTAAGTCAAACAATGATATTCACATAGTACCAATCGGAAAAATGTACAGAAAAAAATTTGCTAAATTAAAATATATCTAAGTATATAAGATATAAGTATCACAAAAATGACTAGAATGTTTTTAAAATTTCATCATATCTAAAAAAAGGCACATATAAGTTTTTCACAATTACAAAATTGCAAATAATACATTTCGTAAATTTGTCCATTTTTTTTCCGGTTTTTCCTTATTATTATTATTAAAACCATTTGGCTAAAGAGTATAATGTTATTCTTATAATGTTATAAGAAGGTGAATATGGAACTCAACCAGACAATGGGCCAAAGACAATGATTAAATAACGAGCACTGTAATAACGACCCAAGTATAAATAATGCCGTTACTCGCAAACGTTGCTCCACTATACTTGCGTAGACTGATGTATGCTGATTGCAGAGCGCACAGTGGATAAAATTAAAAGAAAACTAAACCTTCTATTATACGGAGGTATCGTTGCAAATCCCCAATAGAGACTTAAGTCGAAGGGCCCGATATGGAAAATAATATTTTCGATAGAATCTCTGTTGGGAACATAAAAACCGCACTGGAGGGACTCGAAAGTGACAGGCACAACCCTGACAGAAAACCCAGAAATTAATGCCCTTATTTTGGACTTTCATGAATGCTGTTGTCAGTCCTGAACAGGGTAATATCTGAGTAATCATTAATACTGTTAATTTAAATTGCACAAACTACACTTAACAGCGTAATAATAAAATAAAAAATTCATTATTCTATAAAATATTGCCAATACCTATTCTAGTATATTAGATATGCTATTTATATCTTCTAATGCTGATCAAATTAAAATTGAAAAAAATGGGCTATAACGAAATCGATACTAAAATGTAAACAAATATTAAACTTCAATTTCATATCTATCTATGCGATTACTGCTAGATTATTTTGATAAAACCATGAAAACCATTTTCGAAAAATTGACTACGAAATTATTGTATTATTCTGAAAATCCTATGAAAATATCTGTATCTAGATATTTGAAATGTGTTAAAAGAAATTTATCGGATTCATTTGTGTAACATTGCCTGTACAAATGCAATACTTCCAAATCAACATTTCAGTAGAAAATAGTACACTTAGACCGAATTTGATTTTATGATTGAAATCAATTCCTCGTTATTTTAGACACCGAATGGACCGAGAAATGTATTAATTTTATAATAATGCTTCTTTTATTTTTATCTGTGAACAAATTTTCTACCAGAAATTTTGTTCCGATTTTCAATCATAGTACTTTTTCTAAAAGGAAATCTGACTGGAGCGGCACTTTAAGCATGTAATTTTTTTTATTTTCCCAGGGGTTTTCATAATAAATGGTAAAATTTACGAAATGTATTATTTTCAAATAATAAATTCTACGGCCTTTCAAAACATTATAACCGAACTCCACTCAGAATCGTTTTTCGTTAGCAATGATTAATCTTTGCGTACAGATATACATTGAATTTCCCCTTACCTTCTAAACTTCTCATCTACCTATTTAAAAGTATAAACATTAGAGTGGATATGAAATACATTTATGAGTGTAGACAGTGGTTTTAAGTGTAATTAAAAAAAAAAAAAGATTTTTAACTTAAAAATTGGGTTATTATTTTCCTAAAAATGTTTGACTTAACTCAGTTATTCAAATTAACTTCAACGTAGCTTAGTTATTTATTTCGTTATTATTTTTAATTTTTTTTTTTTTTTTTTTTTTTTTTTTTATCTTATTCTACAGTTAAAAAATTGATTGACTTTAAGATTTATTTGTATAAAACGAATGCGTAATTTCGCGTAATATTATTATAATTTTTTTGATTTCATTTTTAATCTTAGCCTACGCTCCGCATCACAATGTATAGCTGAGTAATGAGTGCAAAAGAAAAAAAAATAAATAAATAAAATATACGTGATATCTCGAAGTAGGCGTATGTTTTGGTGGCCATTGAATTGGTCATTAGGCGATTGTCTGGCAGTGTGCAATGTACCATAGTCGGTGTTGAAGTTTTCTGTTCCGTGTGGGCGGTCTGTGTACGAACCCAAAGGTGGGCACTGCGCCGCTGCAGCGTATATAACTATACAACTGGTCGAGCCCATATTTCGTGTTTTGACCATGAATCGCAAGGATCGTCTGATATTATAAATGCGGTCTTCGGTTACGCGACAAACTAGTCGTACAGTGGATTCCGTCAAGACGCAACACCATGACGGCGGTAAGTCGATATTATTATAAAATCTAATACTTATGAAAATTTAAGTAACATAACAATATATTATAATAATTCGAATTGAGATGTTTATGCTTTTCAATAGTTTTTTTTTTTTTTTTTTATTAAATTATGAACGAATAATACGGAATACGGAATAAAGTATACTACTGTATTATGCGTTTTTTATTATTTTTTTGCGTGCGTGCGTGTAAACAGCTTTCTACCAGAAATCTTACTCTTTACAAAAACTTTACGGGAACTTTCTTACGGAATATTTATGTAAAAAAGTGGTTTTTATAAATTCCCTTGTAGTTTTCTTAATAAATGGGAAAAATAAAATATTAAATAAATATTATTCCAAATATAATATTTGACTTTTTATTTTATACGTATATCGTTGCATGTTTTCCAATTTTTACTAACAAAAATTAATTTTTTTGTTTTTAAATACACATTTTATGATCATAATTTAATAAAAATACTTATTATAAATTAATTGATTTCTATATTTGTTTGGTATTTGATATTTTGTTTCCATGTTTCTTTATTTTTATTATTTCGTAAATTGTTCGTGTACATTTAGCTATTTTTTAATGCGTAAGTGCATAAACATCCCAACTCTAATATCAATTTTATAATATGTGTTTGTAGACGCAGACGTCTTTAAGAATGTATAATATTTATTTGTCGTATCGACAATGTGAACAATATAGTACGTGTGTCGTGAATAATAATACATTTTCTGCACGATACGCGTAGTTTCTGTTATTTTCGATTTTGTTTTTTTGGGTGTAATTCAATTGAAAATAATAACTGTAGAGATCCGAAACTTCCACCAAATACTTATATTAATACTTTCTAGACCTGGTACAATTTTTAAAACATTTTAGACATTTCTTTTTATCTATTTAAAGCCATTAAGGTATTTTCGAGTTTATTTAGTTTTCATTTAGACACGATCATTTCAGTCCATCAAAAATATTTGAAAATTTAACACGAGGTCCATCGCAAGGTCTTTTAATTTTAAGTAAATTAATTTTTAACCAAATACATACTACAAAATAATAAAATCAAACATAATGATTAGATTTCTCGTTTTTCTTAAATTTTTTCCCCCGAAGTTTCCCAATTATTAAGAAAACTACAAGAAAAATCGAAAAAATGTTTTTCCCAGTGCACCAATTAGACAAAATTAGTTACTGGAAACCCTCGTGCACCGCTGATAAATAATCGGTGCAAGATTTCTGGATACTCAAAATATAATAATATAATATATATTTTATACACCGATAATAAACTGTCCGTCGTAAATAACTGTCCATAACTGGCTTTATAACTGTCCACTGTGAATCCATGCCATTTTAAAGACGTTTACATGTGGGTCAGTGTCAAGATGAAAACGTGTTGTATCATTGAACAATTTAATATGAATTTTTAGTATAAATTTAGTATTTACTCATAACTATAAAATGTATAGATAAACGATGTCTATATAGTTGTTTACCGACTTATATCACAATTCTACTGTATTTGAATTTTTTCACAAAAATTATCTTTTATTTTTTTGTTTTTTTTTTAGTGTTTACGTATGCTGGGCCTTATGGCCGTTACGATCGGTTCCATATCACAAGGTAATCAAGTGAATATTCGAAAATAATATATATTTATATATATATATCAAATAAATGAAATTTGTAAATTATATTTTATATTTTTAAACTTCTTACCAATCGATTAAAATAAAATATATAACACACAGAGATGTTCATGAATTCGTATTGCAAAAACGGCTTATTTTTCATAACATACACGGTTCTTATATTATAAGTAGCTAGTCACGTTTTTATCTTAATATTTGCAGATTGTTGAAATGGGTAAACAGCAGTAATAATAATTCCGGATATTTTATTTCCAACTTGGATAATATTACTAAAATATTAAATTATTACAATAATTGTATTGTAAACTTATTTATAATTAACAAAATGTAAGTCACCCCGATCAAACAAGAATGTAAGAGTTCAGCTTTATGAAAATCATTTTTTTTTTTTATATAATTTTTTTTACTAGATGTTAATAAATACTTTACACGTCGACAAAATCACACTTTCAATAAAATGGCTCCTGTCTTTAATCTAAATTCTTAAAGTAAGTCGTATGGTGTTAGACACTTAAGATGTCTAATGTCCTAGAAGTTATTAAAGACTTTTCTTCCATTCCACCGGTAGGACAGTATCCATTTGATAATCGAATGTTAAAATCGCAGTTAAATTTAATGCATTTTCCATTCGAATTTGGCGGGTCTGAAGGGGTGTTCAAACCTAATAAAACAATTTACTTCCGCAATAACATCGTGAAATTCAACTCAATTTGTATCATTTCAGTCTACCTATAAAACAACTTTAATTCCCGAAAAAAATTCGAACAAAATTTTTCCAACACAAATAATTTGTCTAAGAAAAGCGTTAAATAAATACTTAAAATAGTTAAGACGCATATTAGATATAAATCTCTTGATTACGTTTTAAATCATTTTTTTCAGTGAATAGTATTTAGTGGACAGTAGTACATTCAAAGGTGAGGAGTAGAGAGGGTAGAGTTTTAAAACACCCCGAAATTTGAAAATTTATCCTATCATCTTTTATAATCAATTTATATATATAAAGTGATCTATTTAAGTGGGTACACGTATTTTTTCGAAAAGTATTAACATGCCGCCTGCCGTGCCGCCACACAAATGATGTTCCACTTCTCTCTCCCGATCCCAATTTAAAAGTGGAATATTTCGTCAAAGGGTTGATTGAAATCAATAATTTCAACACTAAAATTTATTTTAACTAATACTCCATCTATTTATGGGATTTTTAATAAAGGATGGCATAAAAATAGGTAGTGGTTTTATCCCTCCCACCCCAAAAAAAAGTAACAAAAATTAACATAAATGTAAAATTGTAGGGCTGCTTGTTTCTTAAATGTTTTATAAAACAAATTCCGAAAAAAGTTAATACTCTCCGACATAATGAGTTTACCCACTTAAATGGATCACCTGATATACAAGTCAACGTGTCGAAAAACGATACTCAACTTTATCGTTTTCCCCTTTTTTTTTTAAGGTATGATCGTATACAATCCGGTGTCGTACACGACTCGATTTACCGACCCGTGTTCACCGACCCCGTGCGGTTCCAACACACAATGTCGCGTGGTCGGAGAAAGAGCTGTTTGCAGCTGTTTGCCCGGTCATTGGGGAAATCCGTCGACATACTGTCAACGTGGCGAATGTCAAGGTAAGCAACAAATTTATTTACTATTATCATGTTTTGCCGTTACGGTGTTTTTCATGTTTTACAATTTAAGTTTTAATAACAGCGCTATTATTTCCTATAAAAAAAACCACCCCGCGCTTAAATACGCTCGTATACATAATAGCGCATGCGTTATAATCAGACTAGGGACGCGTTTTGGAGTATTAGAGTACCACAAAATTAAATCATTTGCATTTGCGACTAAAAAACTTTTCAAAAGTCGATTTCAAATTTCTCGTAAATTATACTGCTGATGTAGAAGTAACCTCCACATGCATTTATTACCAGCTGTAAAAGCCTTGTGTAAAAAATGTATAACACCACTATATTGTACCCTATAAAATGGTCTGATGCATCATCCGAGGTTCCAACTTTATGCGTATCACGGTTTTGATTTTACCAAGGCATTTCAAAATCGCACTGAGTGCATGTAAGGATTTTTTACTGCTTTTTTTGCTGGGACCGTGATCCACCCCCTGTCCCACTTATTTAGGATTGCCAAGGCATTTATCTAACCAGAACATAAAGTTTAGGAGGTTAACGTATATTTTTAAATCGTATATGTAATTTTAATGAAATTAATTCGAGACGTGTTGCCTAACTTGGTATGCCTATAGTTGTTACCTACGGCGAGTGGCCGGTGGAAATGGCCAGTGGTCGTTCAGATCAAATTTAGCCATACTCGACCTAGAAGTTCGCGAGTGCCTATGAAAATAATAAAGATTTTGAAATTATAAATTATTTAACGGATTACCTACAGGCTCGCATCCAGGCCGAATCATCAGGTTGGGCAAACCAAATTTTAGGGGAGAACATGAGAAAAAAAAATAATATTACATATACACAATACAACAAATCATACATATTTAATACTTGTTGGGGGGCAACGATTAGGTCTGGAAACTAATGCCCCCTTGTCCCATTCCCCGCGGCTACGGTCCTGATTACCTATATTACCGACATACCGATTATCGTAATGATTAATAAAATATTATTGTATGATTTTCAGACTCGAACGAATGTTCCAACAACAAGGTCTGTCGTAATAGCAAATGCGAAGACGTATGTATAGGACAGTGCGGTCGTAATGCGAATTGTACACCCAGAAATCACATAGCCGTGTGTTCGTGCCCGGAACGTTATACCGGTGATCCGTTGGTGGGATGCCGTCAAATGGATCCGCGTAAATAATTTGTCTAAGAATTAAAATGTTGTTTAATGACAGGGGCGGGTATTCATATGCTTTTGCGTATTTTCATAGGTAGGTCTAAAAAAAAAAAAAAATTAAAAATAGCTAGTTTATACCAAAATGCGTTTCATGACTTAATAGCGGTTCTATTTACATACGCAATTTTATTTTTGCATATTTTGACGTTTTTGGATTATCAAAGCGTATTTGAATATTCCGTATATTCAACGTGATTTTTATCATGATTTATTAATTTCCTTTTTTTTCTGAGCATACTCTAAAGGCGTATTTTGGTATATTTAGTGCATATCCGCACATATATACATATTCAAAGGCTTTGAGGGCGTATAAATATCTGCCCTGATTATTATCTTGTGTACGAATCACTACAATTGTTTATTTCGCCGAAAACCCCGTCTCAAACGCGGTCTGTGACGATCAGCTTTTAGCAGAAAAAAATATCTTCTATACTTATCAATCCCATAGACCGATTGAATATAGTGAAAATGTCTAAGCTTGTCGAATGATATGCGATATGAGAAAATACAAATAGAACACATCCTCGTCGTAACGTCGTCGTGTCATTCTGCGACGAAACTTGAATTTCGGACGCGTTCGTCCCGTTTTACGTTTTAAATCGTTTGATATTCATAATTCAATAATTCAAATGTACGCGTCTAGAAAATAAGAAATGCGCACAGTTTTATTGTTATTCCTGTTATAATTCGATACTCAATCGCAGTTTGTTTGGTAATGTTATGTACATTTAGATGTAAAACTAAGGGGTTTTGGTTCGAGTTTTCGTAAAGAAAAAAAGAAAAAAACCAAACGAAAATTGACCCTGCACGTTATTATTACGGCGGTGATTAGATTTTGCGGGTGCCTGCTGTCCGTGGCGTAGGTGCACCGAAATGGGTACTGGAAGTTGATAATATACAATCCCCGTCGGCAGAAATGTGTGTAAACAATAGATGCTAAAATAAAGAAAAACAAAATCAACGGTAGACATCTCTTCCCGTAAATACGCCACTGGATCGTATTGTATTCCACGAGCATATTTTTTGTTTTTTTTTGTTTTTTTTTTTTTTTTATCTATCGAATCCGTTTTCGTTGACTTCACAGAGGAACAGTGTCACCCGAGTCCTTGCGGCCAGAACACCAAGTGCGAGGTAATCAACGACGTGCCGGTGTGTAGCTGTCTGCCGGGTTACAATGGTTCGCCGTACTCGGGATGCCGCCACGAATGCGAATCCGATTACGAGTGTGGCTCGACCCAGGTGTGCCAACAGTACAAGTGCACTTCGGCGTGCGGCGCCGGCACTTGCGCGCCCACCGCGATTTGCGACGTTTACAACCACAGGGCGTCGTGTTCGTGTCCGAAGGTAAACTGCAAACTTAGAACTACACACGACGGCAAACATTGTTGTTTTGAAACAGATACATTTATAAGCGTTCGACGGGCGGGCTTTAGTTGGGAGAGAGCGGCTTAGTGTCATAAATTGCGTTCAAACCGCAACAAGCATTGATTTAAAATAATTTAACGCTCCGTAGCTACTCTTCCGACGGAGTGAAATATGGCCGCGGGCAGTGTTGAATCCAGACAATTTTTCTCTTGGGGGAGGGGGAGGGGGGGGGCATTACTAAAATTATAGTAATGAACTTTTATTATTTCGCTTATCTATACCCTCTTACCGAGACTAGTCAAATTTGTTTAGTCATTTATAATTAACTATTAATTTATCCGCATTGAACAGGGGGCAAACAAAATTCCAGGGAAACTATTGCCCCCTGACGTACACCTGGCTTGAACACTGGCCGCGGGGAAAATTTTCAATTTTTCCGTGGCCTTTTGCAACACCCAGACTCGCGGGCATGGGAAATATTATATTAAAACCGTTGGCCACGTGTTGCAGGGCTATTTCGGGGACCCGTACGTTTCGTGCCGAGCCGAGTGCCAGACGCACGGAGATTGCCCGTCGGACCGTCCGGCGTGCTTGGGAGAACGGTGCGTGGATCCGTGCGCGGGCGGTTCCGTGTGCGGCGTGAACGCCAACTGCGAGACGAAGGGCGCGACGCCGATATGCAGCTGTCCGCGGACAATGACCGGCGACCCGTTCGTGCGGTGCCGACCGTTCGAGCCGGCCGACCTGTGCATTCCGGACCCGTGCGGCGAGAACGCCCGGTGCCAGCCCGGTCACGATTCGACGGGCAAGGAACGGCCGGTGTGCTCGTGCCTGCCCGGTTACGTGGGCGACGCGCTCGTCCGGTGCCGGCGCGGCGAGTGTACGGTTGACATCGAGTGCCGGTACGACCAGGCGTGCGTCGACTACAAGTGCACGAACGTGTGCAACGGCCAGTGCGGCGTGGACGCCGAGTGCACGGCCCGAAACCGCGTGGCCACGTGCACGTGCCCACCCGGCTACTCGGGCGACGCCCTTTCCCGGTGCTACCCGAAATCTAACGGTTCTACCGGCAGCCGGACCACGTACAATGGACGCGTATATTACAACAACAAGAAAAAATGATCCGCGTGTGGTTATAAGTTGGGCTCCGGCATCGAGCGTTTCGACTCGGCATTCAAATCGAAATCCGCTCGTAGATTTTTTTTTCTATTCTTTTAATATTATACCTAACGCCGAGTCATATTATTATTTGCGTAAAACATTATTATTATTTTTATTTTATTTTTAATTATACGATTTGTTAACGAAACTCAAGCATTTTCGCTCAACACGTCATGGAACCAATGTCCAATGTTAATGCGTTCTGCGAGGACAACCGAAAGGTTATCACGTCTCCAGACGCGTAGCCAGAATTTTTTTTAAACGTCAAGTTTTTAAAATGTAAAAACGAATTTCATATGTTCAAAAATCTTAGTTAAATATTATACTTATACCCATCCACACTTGTCTATGTTCCGTCGTGTACACCGTTACAAGCCTGTAACATTACACCGAAAAGCGACCACCGTATGGTAAACAACTTTGAAATGAAACAGACTGATTAACAAAACCATCATCAAATTTAATATCTTCTTTAGGTAATATAATATATATATATATATATATATATATAGAAAAATACTTTGCCACTTTTACAATCGAAATTCGAAACAAAACATTTTTTTATTTAAAACGTTAAACGAAAATGCTCGAAAATTTAACACAAGGTTTATCATAAGTTGTGATTAGTTTGTAAAAAAAAAAACTGAAATAAGGCGTATATAATGCAGTAAATTTTTTTATGAACGATTAAAATTCAAATTTTTAAGAAAATCAATTGTCCACTTAATACCGTGTCTCCCCCGAGTCGAGCGCTGTATAAGTATGCGCGCTGATACAAATTGTATTTTATTATTTGGGTGCGCCCTTGCTTTACCTTTCAGTAAAAGTCCCATTGAAATCGATTTAACCGTTTTCGAGATTAACCCCGACGGACAGACAGACAGACAGAATCTTCAATTTGATTTATATGTAAATATACATTGATTGAATCTATTATTATGCTGAACAAAAAATTATCTTTCTTTTGCAGTTGAATAAATATTTTACGTTAAATATAAAATACGCCTACACTTAAAGTGCAAGTGGCTGATCCGATAAAGGTAATTTAAGGAGAGCGAACAGATATCTTACAAAATCGTAACTTGAAACAAATTTTGGAAGAGGGATGGTTCAAATTATATTTAACATACTATACAGACACTCATATTATTTTAGTTCAAACGTGCGCCACTGGACAACCCCTCTTCACTGTTATGGCCTTGGATACCTATGTAATTCAAGAAGAAGTTTTTACGAATTCCACAACGGGAGGATGTACGATATGTCGTCAACGTCAACCCCCCCCCCTAAATTCACCGCTGTACTATAGGTTTCAATTTCTCCATGGTCTCGACGTGATCACATAATCTACATACATTCTACGACTAGGACCTAGCCATCATGATTATGCACACACACTGTATTCTCAATTAGTTTGAGCGGTGAAGACGGTTTTTTGAGGCCTTGCGTCTCGTCCAAAATCAGTGGACGGGTCATGGCCTCGTGGGTCGTGGGTGGTTGAAAGCGTATATTATAACTGTATAGAACAGTGAGTTAGAAATAATAGGTAACTAATACTGAACAATTGATTACCGATTTGTTCTCGGAGTGGCGGTAGTGGCGGCGATGATAAGAACAGAAAATCATTGGGTCTCGAAAAAAAACAAATTTTCCACGCGCCACTGTTATAGTTTACGGTGTAGGTATATCCGCCGTAATAATACTTGTACAAGTTACAGTTACGTCATCTCACAACAATAATAATAAATAACAAATTTTTTTATCATCGGGTATTATAATATTATAGTATAATAATAACAATGTGAATCTAAAATTATGGTTTTGGCTCAGGGCCGTTTAAGATTTAAATAAATTTTTATCGTTTATTTTTTATTTTTTTTTTTTATATAAAATAGACATAAAGCTAGGTAGGTAGTAGAGAACAAGTTCACCCATAACGTGTTTCTATACAATATAATAATACAGTGATTATTATGTAAACCACACACCGCATCAATAGCCAATATAAACCGTATATAATAAAAAATAATGATAACACTACGGTATGTAGGAATACTTGTATTGTCATATAATATACCTATTACGTTGATCTATAATACCGTCCTCCGAAAGGTCTCCCCCGACCGAATGGCATCGTTGGACGTCGACGATATTCCGAACTAGTCTTGTTCTGGTTTTTTATCTGAAACGATACAATTAGAAGAAAAAAAACAAACAATAATGATGGGCGTAATTGATTTTTCGACTTTACTTCGTTCTTATGGGCGTAAATACACTTTGTAAAGTTTACCGCTTTTTCGCAACGATTTTTTTCGCCTGCACACAAACATTATATTTGTAATAAATGGATATATTATAACAATTGATTTTGTAAATTATTATTATTTCTTTTTTTTTCGAGTATGAATTCAATTTAATACACGGCTATATTTATTGGTGTAAAATATACCTTCTCCTTCCTTTTCACATTTTTCTATAGCACTTCTTGTTCTAGCCGGAATCTCGGTTACACTGGGTTTCATGATCAATTTTTTCAGAGCTTCGTCGTCATATTCTCCTTTACCGTTTGTCTGAATGAAAAATATACAATAAACAATATAGGTTGAATAAACCGACGCATGGTTGCACCCAAGAAGGGTGGTTGGTATATTTTCGCATATTTTTAATAAACCAAATGCATTTCATTATTTCCATTATATATTAATCCTAGCCCTACTTATCAGTACTTCATTAATGGTACAACCGCTTCAAATAACTATAATGAATATACGTGTATTATTTTTCTCTTACGTGTTCTTTTAGTAAAAACCCTTTTTCTCCCTTTATACACTTAACCAAAATCAATAAATGAGCTACCGTTTTGCTGATTAGGTCGCCCGTTTTTTTTGAATCAATAATTTTACATTGTTTATTGCGTAAGATCTTCGTCACGGCAATAGGAAAGCCACGAAAATCCGTCAATATAAAGAAATGTAATTCCGTCAGTTTTTATAGCATGTTTGCTATTTATGTTCGTTTTTAAAATACAAAGCCCATTACAGTAATTATAAATATAATAATTAATAACAATAATATAAGTTCAACAAACCACATTGAATCGCATCATCATACAAGCGACATAGCATTTCGCATCTTGGTCGTTAGTGTTAAGTGAATATAGAGCCACCACTCTTTCTAAACAATATAAATTGATTCAAATTCTACTATAAAACATAAGTATCGCAAATAAAAAATCAAAATAGTTCATATCCATTTGTATTTAAGTAAGTAACTAAATTAGAGTGTGTATATCTATATTAAAGTGTATACTTTGCACCATCTATAGTTTTCCTCGTCCGTTAAAAACATGGTTCATCGTTTACCCGTATTCACAAAGTTGTTGTCTTTGCAAATATTTTACTATATTTTTGGTTAAACAATTATTACTTTGTATCCCTTAGTTCTGTTAATTATTCAAATATAACACGACTGTGTTTGCTTGTCTTTTATGCCGGCAGTACACATTTGGTGAGACTTTAGGCGAGCTGAGGAAGCGCGAGTGCACGTAGTACACTTTTAGCTTACCTCAGTTTACAGGCACTCGCATTTTCCGATTTTTGTGCTCGCATCTCGTAGCCTTTGACTCGGACACAAAAAACCGCCTCCGGAGCGAGTGCCGCCAAAGTGAAGCGAAACGAAGAGTTCATCTAATTCACTCTCACGCTCAGCTGCTCTCGCAGTGTCTCACCAAATGTGTACTACCGGCATTAGATTTTGGACGGAGCGAGGAATGCATTGTTTTTTTTTTCTATCGACAACTTTTCTACTAACAATTTTTCTCCGATTTTCATGTATAGCACTTTTTATCGATTTTTAATTTTCCCAAAAGTTTCTATAATAAGTGAGAAAACCCGGGAAAATGTACTAAAAGTATTATTTTCGAATCATAAATATTATGGCCTTTTAAAACTTGTATAACCGAACTCTGCTCAGAATCGTTATTCGTTAGTAAAGATTTGTCGTTGCGTATTAAATTCCCCTCTATATCATATCATCTCAACTCCTCACTTACTACAGTGACTCAGCCATTCTGCGAAGTATGTCCATATATTATTTTAATTTCATTTTACTCCTACATTTTCAATCTTTTTTCAATTTTTATGTATTATATAATTTTGTTCAACGTACATTTTATATTTTCAAAACAAATTATCTAAAATACGAATTTAAAATGTTTGAATTTCAACACGTATTATCTTTTAAAATTATTTATAGTCTTTGTGTATGTAAATAAAAAAAACCAAACTGACATACTTCGCACGATGGGTGAGTCACTGTTATAGATGAGAAGTAGGGAAGGTAAACAGGAAATTTAATGTATATCTGTACGTAAAAATTAATCATTGATAACATAAAACAATTCTGAACGGAGTTTGATTATACATGTTTTGAATGGCCGTAATATTTACCATTTAAAAATAATACATTTCGTAAATTTTCTAATTTTTTCCCATTTATTATGAAAAGTCCTGGGGGAATAAAAAAAATTACCTCCTCAAAATACCACCCAAATCAGATTTTCTTTCAGAAAAAGTGCTTCAATTGAAAATCAGAGTAAAATGTGTTATAGAAAAGTTGTTCACAAAAAAATTAAATAAAATAAACATCATTGTAAAACCAATACATTCTTCACTCCGCACAGCATCTTAAAGACTACAAAATATATTTATATAATAGCATGCTACTCACGTTATACAGCTATTATATAATAATATAGAAAACATTTGAAAACAAAAAACAAGAAATAGTGATAATTAAAAAACTTGACAATTGAGACCTTAAGCAAGAAGAGAATTAAGAGAAGTTTATTGCCAAATTATCAAAATCAAGAAAATAAATCATTTCAGAGGAAAAATTATAAAATCATAATTTTAATAAAGCGAATAAAATCTATAAAAACATTAATTTTAACCCAATTTATAATATTAAAAATTAATACTTATTAGTGATAGTAATACCCGGGTAGACGTGGTTTTCTCTCAAGCATTCTCGTGATATATTCGCAAAGTACCTGTTTAATTTGGGTTGTGGTCGAGTTTTCGTTTGTTGACCCTGATGAAAACGAAATCATTAGTTTTATAATAATCTGTTTATAAATAAAGTTACATTTTAATCGTAAATATTGTACATTATATTAATAAAAAAATGATATCATTATATAATTAAATAAATTATAATTAATGGAAAAAAAATCATTCTACCTAATATATTTAAGAATAATGGTAAATCTTATATACCTAACCGTATATCATTTTACTTCAGAGTAGTGTTGAATTCAGATAACTTTTCTGGGGGCTCATTCTTTTTTATTCGTTCTTTTTATTTCTATGTAAATTGTAACGGTAAATTATACATTTTGTTAATAATTGTATTTGTCAGGAATGAATGAAAAATGAGAGCATTTTCCCTACTGGAGTATACCTGGATTCAACACATGCCTATTAGAGTATGAAATGAACGAAATACGACAAAATTAAACAGTATTGTTTGACTGAATTTTTATTTTTTATTATATAATAATAATAAACTGTTTACCTTTAAGAAACATATAAATGTTATAAAGACAGTAATTATTGCGAATTGGCGATTAATGTACATATTTATTAGTCAACACTGCAAAGGTTTAAAAAAAATAAAGTCATATACCAGTAACGTACACGGTTTTATAGTTTTAGAAATAGATTTTTTTGATCGTATCAATATTATAATACTTGTATTTGTATATAATTTCAGATATTTATCTTTATAATAACTTCCTTTTTTATTACATATTTCCTCTTGTGTATTGTATAGAATAACATTATTGGTCATAGGTATTTCAACTAATTTGATTTCCGGATGTTAAGTATACGCAATTATTATGGTTGTACGATATTTGTACATACAAAAAAAAAAAAATGTTATAAATTGTTGCAAACGAAAAATAATTCTCGATAAAGTTCGGTTATATATTTTTTTGATACATTAAAATCAAAAATTGTATTATAATTTTTAACTGTAGAATAAATAACACTCGTTCGTTTTCATTAAAAAAATATAAAAGCCGATTATAACAAATTACAAATTACAAAATATTTCTTCGTATTAACCAATATAAAATTTTGAAAAAAAAAAACTGCTAAACATTCTACAACGTTTCAAATAGTTATACCTAAATAACAATTCAAAAATCGCCAAAGTAGTTTAGAATTTTTACATATATACATATATATCGTACAAACAAAATTAATAATATACATTTTAATACTAATTTTATATCATACAAAATACGAATTCACCGAATATAATATATAAGCACCTATACGTTGTTCACTTAATCAGCAACAGTGGCGTAGTAAATGTTCATACAGATCCTGCACTTCTCTTGCAATTCTAACGGAAAAAAAAAATATGTTATTTTTCATCTAATAAAATATATTGTTTTATTAAATTTATGTCGTATAAGAAAATATACAATTACTTATAACCAGTAAATAAAACATATTTTCAAAAAAAAAATGTACCCTTTTCAAAATTTCATACAACAGCCCAGTATACGTCCCACGTAGAATTATTCAACAAGACGAAACTATCCGTCACCTCACTGGACTAAATTAAAATAATTGCTTGCTAACTAAAAACGATAATTGTTGAGTTATCGTAAAAAAAAGTAATGACGGCTGTAACAAAAGGTTTTGGAAAACAACGTATAATTCGGTCTAATGGTTTTCCTGAAACACCCTGAACAAACGCGATATTTTTTCAATGGGGTTCACATATTATGTTCGTTTCCATAGAGACAACCGGCAAACAAACACAAATGATCTACATTACTCTCCATGTTCACAAAATTACGATATCAACTCGTATAACCATTATCACGGTTAAAGATCATTGTATTATTGTGTATTGGTTTCGTAAAAACATAGTTATGATACATCAGTTACTATAAAATCTATAATGTAATTCGCGTTTGATTTTATTTTATTGTTCATTGTTATAATAGATACTTCAGTATCCGTTAAATATACTCATACTAGACAGAGATGTTGTTGCCGGAACATAACGAAAATGTGGTTGATGAATATGACGATGTAGTCCATCATCCTGACGATACATCTGACAAAATCGAAGGGTTTGAATAACTTGATGAGTTCAAGATATACGAATGTATTTATTGATATTATCTATTTTGTCTCTAGGGATTTGCCGTTGGAAAAATTATTGAAATTGTCGAAAGTATTCAAGACCGGTATTGAAAAAGATTTGAATACATTTATGGTAAATATAAATAATAATAAATAATCGTTGCTTAACGACGTTGGATTAAATTGAACGTATTTTTTTTTTCAGGAAGAAAAAATAACCATGATAAACGAAATGTCTGGAATAAGTTACATAACAACACCGAATGAGAAATCTATCGAAATAACTGAGATTCGTGAGAAACCATTGCTCTTTAAACATGAGGTTTGTTACACTTACACAATACTAAAAAAATTATAAATACGTATAATTTAAATAGAAAATAATTCGAATCCAGGGAGATTATAATGATTTGTTTTCGAGGGATAATAGTGAAACAATTCGTAATTTAAAGCAGGAATTATTGCAAAATGTACAAGGTTCCTCGAACATTAATCATAATGGAAATGAGTTTAAGTTAGAACAGGTATAAATTAAATAGTATGTTCCTATCTACAATACTTATGATTTTTCAAAACACTTTTAGGAAAAAGTAGAATTTTCTACCGGTATGATGTCATCATTGCAAAACAAAATCAGCGAGCTGTATCATATGTTAAACATTAATCAAAGTATCGAAGGAAAATCAAATAATCTAAAAAAGATCCTCGAAGTAGAAAATAAATGCCAATATTGGATGGATAAATATGATGAATTAAACGAAAAATACTTGCGATTGGAATCTAAATATGTTAACGTCGAAAAAGAAAATTGTAGTAAGAAAAGAAATTAAAAACAATTGCACTATTACCTATATTTTTTGATTTAATAATACTTAAATTGGAAATCGTACAAAAATAATAATAATAAAAATAAGTGGGTTTTGAATCGAAATAAACCGTTTTGGATGAATCACAAGTATCATAATATTTTAACATAATTTTAAGCTTTAATATAACGATAAATCGTTGCATACGAATCAGTCGAGATCGCGCTTAAATTTTTCTTAAATTTTTTTCAAGTCGTACTGTATTATATATTTTTAATTACATATAATCGTTTATAGATAAAACTTATGGCGCATTTTTACTGCTCCGAAAAATGGTTATTGAGATAAAATAAAAGACATTGTCTAATAGGTAATAATTTTTCCTTCTGTTCTAAACTCGTATATTTGAAAATCGAAAAATATTAATTTATAATTTATGTACGCAAGTACCTGCATTTTTCGGCAGGGCTAACAATGGTATACCTACCTATGTTTTAAACTTTGATTTAATAAATTAATAAATTATCGATCATTGATCGTTTTGAAACACGAAAATTAATAATAAATTCAAAAATATACGAGTACTTAATTTAAAATGTATATAGGAGTATACAACTTACGGTTGTAATGTCGTACGCGATCTACTAAAGAATGTCAAAATCGAAAATATACATAATTATACACATGTTATAATATTCAAAACATGTTCCAAATACGATAAAATATAATATGATATATAATATTTGCCAAATGTTATATATTATGTAAAATACACGGATCGTTATTTGTATTTTTAGTATTTTAATTATTATTTAAAGTTTTTCAATAACTTGTTCAATATTATTTTTATTAGTTTTTGATTTTTGATTATGTATAATGAACTCGGAAATTTTCCATTATTTATAACGAAATAAGATGTGTAAATTGTTTAAAAAGCAAACAGTTGTTACCCCAAAATGAGAAACTAATTTGACATATAATAAAATACCTATAGGACGGTGTCATCTGTGGTGGAAATCTTAAAGAAAACCTAAAAGAACAAGTAAAAATGAAATTTAGATGGAACATTTAAATTAATATTAATACGCACCAAAAAAAGGTGTCAAACTTTCCAATCAATATGTAGTAATAACCAGTTTTTTTTGTAAACTGATCTAAACGGTAAATGTAATATTAAGTTCACTCTAACATAACTAACATAATCGATCCATCGAGGTTCTTATTGGTAAGTCATAAAAAGTGATACGATATTGAAGTAAGGGATGCTTCACGACCTTTACTTGAAAAACAGTTTAAAGTAGAGTAGTGGCGATCATTTCATCTATCCATAGATACCATATTTGACGATATCCTTGCAGATATGCAAATGACACAAAAAAGGGGAGGCATGGCTTCTAGGTTGAAAAACTCTGATTTAAGGAAATTAAAATAGTAATTTAATGAATTAGTATAATAAGAATAATGAGTAATGAATTAATTCATTTTATTAGCTATTATAAAAATAAATATAAATATATTATCGGGATACTATTTAAAAACGAGTTTAGTAGATCGCGTACTACATTACGATCCAACTTACTGTAGAATTAAATTATATTTTTATTGGTTTTTTTTTTCGTGCAACTTTTGAAGTGTATTTAGCATTCAATAGTAATTGTCAAGATAAAAATAAATGTCGTTTTATATTATAAAAAATTCGACTGATTAAATAGGTTATCTAATGGAAATAGCAAGAGTTAAAATGATTGAAGATGAAAATCTACGTCTTAATCAAACAATTGATAAATCAAATCATGGTATGTATATTATAATTGTGTTTCTTATATTTTTTTATGAGTATATGATATTTTACCAAAAACTACAAATTAACGACCAATTATCGATAAAAACTATAAAACTATAAACATATACAAAAATACGCTGACATAAGTACATTTGTATTAAAACGATAGATAAAATAAAGTATCTTTTTTCCTCTTGCTTAGTCTTGGTCAGTAAAGACTATATACCGCTAAAACACATATTACTTTTTTAATTATCTCTTTTCTCTGCTATTTCCGTCCATTGACTGATTTCACCAGCTTTGCATCTCTCTAAATGCAATCCACCCATCTTAACCACGTAAGGGGCTATCTTCCAACGGGGTCTTCTTTAATCAACTTTTTTTTATTCTATTTTACTTTTTAAAATTAAATTACTGTTTGTTATAACATATATTATATTATGTATAGTAATTATTAATTAGTTAATTTATTAAATAATTAGTGTTATTATTAATATGTAATATATTGAAATGTTATTTTACAAAAAGTTTTTTTATATATATACATAAATATAGTTCGTAAAGAATTAGAATCAGCATTGGAATCGTGCCATAGAGTTATATCTAACTATCAAACCGACGCGGAGGTCGCTCGAAATAAAGTCAAAGAAGCAGTCGAAGTGGTAGATAAAACATATTCAGAGAAAGAACGACTCGCGACCGACTTAAAAATAGCAAATGGTTTTTATAAATTTTCATATTTTGAGATAATACATAATAAGTATCTAGTTAGTAATTAAAACGAACAGGACGTTTTTAATATAATTGCATTTTAGAAGAAATTGAGAAATTGAAAAATGAGCTAAAAACGCTGATACAAGAAGCCGGTAAAAAAGTTAATTTAGAAGTCGAAAAGGTGAAGACCATGTACAAAGATAAATTACACCAGACAAGTGTCGAAATCGAGTTTCTGCGTACTGTGCGTATATTATAACAATATTATTATTATCATTAGTTAGATACAAAAATAGGTGAGAAATTGGGAAAGTAGTAGAGGGGATATTTAATGTATATCTGAAAGCAACGATAAACCATTGCTAACGAAAAAACGATTCTGAGCGGAGTTCAGCTGAAAGTGGTACTTTGTGAACGATATATATGTCATATTACTAAGGTAAAATAATAGCACAAGCATTAAATATATTCTTTAATAATATTTGTGTAATATTGTACCTATTTTTCCATTTTTCCTATGTTTATCCTGGTTTTCCCATGTTTTTCCCGGTTTTTCTCATTTATTGGGAAAACTCCTGTAAACCAAAAATGACCTTCTTATATTACCTCCTCAGTCCTATTTCCTTTTAGAAAATGTGTTGCACTTGTAAATCGGAATAAGATTTTTGATAGAAAATTTGTCCCCAGAAAAGTAAAATAAAATAAAAAATGTCATACGTTAGACGTTATCTTTATGTCTTTGTAAAACCATAAGCTTCTCCGCTCTACTCAGAATCTAAAATAATTATATCAACCATGAATATACCGAGTTATTTCTTCAAACTTGTATTACATTTTCTTCGATATATCTCGTGCGTCAAATTGAATATTATATATATATATATATATATATATATTTGTATTTATGTTTTTTTTTAGGAAAGTCAGATTGCGGGTAATAAAATAAAACAACTGGAACAAGAAAATGGCATTTTAAATCAAAAATATACATCGATCAATCAGAAATATATGAACGAACTAGATGTATATTCCAAAAAAGTGGCTAGTAAAGTGCTCGAAGTTGAAGAACACGAAGTTATATCAGGTAAACTGATAGCCGATATCGAAACTCTTAAAGGAACTAACAGAAAGCTCCAAGAAAGGTATGTACCTGCAAACGTTTTGTAAATTTAATTTAATAAACATAATGCAGTTTACACTGGACATGCAATTTCAAATATAAATCATACCGAATTGAATAATTAATTTACATAGTAATTATACGAATTAACCAATATTATAAAGGTATTTTGCTTATTTGTTAATGTATCCAAATTTATCAAATAATCATATAAAATATAAATGATTAATACAAAAATACTGTAATAAAATAAATATTTATTGTGTATTTTTACTGTTTTATGAACAAAATGAAATTACATTTTGGTCATACTATATGTAATCAGGCACATTGTCCGTGGGGTCTGGACACCTACCATGGACTACCTCCATCGAAATTTATAATTCTCCTTATTTTTCTACCCATTAAGTTTTAATTTCTTTTCACTCCAGACAATTATTGGTATATGGTGATAAATTATAAATTTGGACCCTCCTACCACCACAAAAAACAAAAATCCTAGCTACGTATCCGTGTACAATTATTGTCTTTATTACTATTAAACGTTTGCTACACATAACACATAATACTTAAAATAATACGAAATTGTAATTTCGATAAATCAAAACATTTTTAAATTTGTAAAAATATATATCATTTAAAATAAATTTTAATAAAAACTCTATTATATATTTAATATGTATTCATATGAGTACAACCAATATCAATCACGCTTAATCAAATTCGCAATACTATTATAAATTATAAGTAAAACATACTTCTTTAAACCTTATCATTTACCTTGTTTACAGTTATGTGAGAAAAAAAAACAAATATGCAATGGAAATAGAATTTTTAAAGGACACTACAAAAACCCTTGAAGATAATTTAAATAAAGCATTAAATGAAATTGCTAACGATAACAAAAATATTGTGGAAGCTACAAATACAATAAAAATATTGGAATTGGAAATTATTAAGTTGTAAGAATATTTCCGTAAACTGCTTATTATTATCAGGGTTCGAGACTGATAGTGTTTCTTTATTTTGGCACAGAGAGCTATGGAAATATATGTCATGATACGTTCAATTATGAAATTTGAAGAGCTTTGTTTTGCTTATTTCGATAGTTAAAAAAAATGATTCCTACTAGTTTTTTTTTTTTGCTTTTTTAATATTATTTAAATGTATATTTAAGGGCGATAATGAAGTGTTTTTAACGTTTTTTAGTTGATTTTTAGTACTATAAGTCCTGAACCCTAGGTAATTAGTAATATTGAAGAATAGTATATTTACTATTATATTGTAGGCTCGATTTATAATATTATATAGATTGGAAAGGTTAAAACTATATTTCATAGAACTCTAATAAATAAAAAAATAATAAAATAATCATTGTTGTAAAACCAATTCTATATTACACCTAATTTTTGTTTTTGACTACAAATTCCGACTTATCATGAACCTTCTATACAACTTTCAAGCATTTCTGTAAAGTCTAACAATAATATTCATATAGTATCTATCGAATCAAAATTGTATGAAAAACTTGCAAAATTAAAATGTCTATAAATAGCTCAAAAATAGGTTCAAATTTTTTGAAAATGTTTCCATGTTTAGAAAAACAAATTTAAGTTTTCTGTTAAAATCTCAAGTTCTTACGAATATTTTAAACTGAATCAAAACAAACAACAAAATTGAAAATAATAAATTTCGTAAATTTTGCCGTTTTTCTACATTTTTTCCCAATTATTATGAAAACCCTTTGGAAAATCAAAAACTGACCTTTTTTAAAGTACCACCCGGATAAAATTTTATTTTAGAAAAAAAATGCTACACTTAAAAATGAAAGTAAGATTTCTGGTACAAAAGTTGTTCGGAGAAATAAAAAATAATAATAATAAACATTGTAAAACCATTACACTCCTCGCTTCGCTCAGAATCTAAAATTAATAGTTATGCATTTGATTTCAATTAAAAATTGGGGTTCCCACCCTAAATTCTTATCTGCGGACACCCTTGTTTTCATTTCACAAAAATATCATTAAATTAAAAAAAAAAAAAAACCGAAATTATAATTCTGATAGGTACCTATTATGCGTTATATAGCGTTATAATAAAGTTACATTTTTTTTAGGAAAGATGCTTATTAAACATGATGTACAGTTATAATATTAAAACAATGTACATACTGTATATTGTTTTTAATGCCAATTATAAATATAATAAAAATAGCATGGAAATATTGATTATGCATATAATATATTCCATGAGAAATAATTCGATTAAATGTTTAATATGATTGTTGCTGTTATAGGAAACGACCAGAAAACAATCTCAACGAGAAAAATAAACAAATAAATGAAATTGTTGAGGTCCACAAACAAACTATAAACATGTAAGATAATGTGCACCGTTATTATAATAAAATACTTGGCTAATTTATTGTTTTTTCTTCAAGTTATTAATCGTAATCATTAGAAATTGATGGGCCAATAAATATTGTCCAGATTTATTGATGAAATAAATATGAATATAAATTCAAAATACATATAAATATAATTTTAAAATACTATTAATATTTTTAAAAACTGTACAGGTGGAGAACAGAAATGTACGACATGATTGAAGATTTCAAACAAAAAATTAATCAACTTAAACAAAATTGTAGTAAACTTTATAACAATAATATTAAACTGAAACGAATATTAAATAATTCGAAAGTCGTACCTTATAAAAGAAAAAGAATATCTAAAATAAGAAAAAATAAAAAGTACACAAAACTTCCAAACGCTACTGAAAAATTGTGTTTAATTTATTGTTTATTTCGTTTTTCAGACCAAGTAATTCGTCAACTTCAACGTAGTACATATTTTTCTGTAATAATCTAATAAAATGAAAAAAAAACCGTATGTAAAACTTTATAATATTAAATTTTAATAAAAGACTGATTTTATTGTTTAGGTTTGGTGTAATAATTCGGTTTTACAAATGGCATTTTCGTGACAACCATTGGTACGTTTTGTCCTCGAACCATCGCTTTTATTTCCGTTCCTATTTTGGCATATTTACTATCCACATAGCCCATGGATATATTCTGCGACAATGTTGGCGACGGACATCCACTAGTTACTGATCCGATTTTCTCGCCGTCTTTGTTAAATATAACTGCACCTCCTCTGACCGGCGCGCTGTTTTCTTTTTGAACGAATCCTACTCGTTTGCGTTGAACCCCTTCGCTGAGCTGCTTTAAAATTACAGAAGCTCCGGGAAACCGCCGTTCGTCTCTTCGTTTACGACCTGAAAAAAGAAGCAAACAAATTAATATACTCGTATAGTGTAATTGTTTTCCATCGACATATAGTATGAACGGAATGCATTGTATACAATTTCGAAAAATTCAAATGGAATATGCGATTTACTTATAGTCCACGTTAAAGCAGATTCTACCGGAGTCGTCTGACTGTTTATATCGGATCCGTACAAACACATTCCAGCTTCTAACCTGGAAACAAAAAACAAAAACATACAATAATTTTCTATATAATATTTAGTATACAATGTTGTATTTGAATAAAACTCGACAACAACCTTAATGTGTCTCTGGCCCCCAGCCCGGCCAATTTTACTGAATCAGTAGTGATGAGCGATTCCGCGACCATTTCCACCCATTTGGACGGCACTGATAATTCGAAACCGTCCTCGCCGGTATAACCGCATCGATTTATCCGGCAATTGGACACACCGCAGATCGTAGCCTCCACGGAATCCATAAAGTAAAGTTTCGACAAATCAATAGAAACGAACGTCTGCAGAACACGCATAGAACTGGGGCCTTGTAACGCTAAAAGAGATTGCGTGTCGCTGTCCAAAAACTCTAAGCTTACATCGTGGCCACTCGATTTAAAACTATTCTAGAAAAAATTAATAAATAATTTCGATAACCATAATAGTATAAAATGACTTTTTTTTTTTCTTTTTACGTATTTATCGTTGTATTATACTTACTGATTGTTCCGTTAACAATTTCATATCCTGTTCCTTGCAACCGGCATTGGTCACCATGTATAAATAATCCTGATTCGTCTTGGTTATTATCAGATCGTCTAATATCCCGCCCGTCTCATCGTCCACAAACAAACTTAATGCGCTCTTACCCTCCTCCAAATCTGTAAAAAAATTGATACAGGTATATTATATATTATACTTAATAGTTATATTAAAAAATAAAAAAACACCTTCGTCACTAGTGTTCAATACCTATTTCGTATTATATAAATATTTTTTGTAAAATAATAAACGACCGAATAAGTACTATAATAAGACTACGTACCTATAATATTAAAAATAATACAAATAAACAATAATGAAAATTTTGAGCAAAATAATGGTAGGAATTTTTGGAATGGTTGGAAATTTAAACCCCCAAAAATTCTCTATACGTGTATTAACGTCATTTATAATATACAAAATTTTACCCTTCGGACTTCATTCGGGAGAAACTGTAGGGATGTTCAAAACTAAAAAAATATCATTCACCCACCACTGCAACATTCAGTGTGAAATTCATATTTATATTTAACCCAACTTTTGGTTGTCCCAAATTTTGAAATCCATGATTAAACCGCTAAAAGCATAACGGGAAAAAAATAAATATTCAGCACAATAACCTACATTTTCAGGAAAATTCGTAAAAAAAAAAATGATTTTCTGAACTCACTTTGTACGTCCGTAACGCAAACCTGCTCCATGAATTGTTCTTTGTGTTTACCGTAAATTTTCGTCTGCAACATATGTGAGACATCAAACAGAGAACACGCCTTACGAGTGTGTAAATGAGAAGACGTTATACTGTCGGTATATTTCACAGCCATGAGATAACCGGCGAACGGCACCATTTTGCCTCCATTTCTACGGTGAAACGCATTTAAACTAGTATTTTTCACATCGCTTGCATACGATCGTACTGAAAAAGTGAACCGCTATAAGAATGGGGAAAATTGCGAAAAATTAAATAGATATTTCGACACTTACTTGATACACATTGCTTGAAAACGATTCGTTTGTTCAATTTATATAACGACATTGATGGAGACATAATTAACTAGAAAAATAAATTCTAAAATTTACTGTTGTTGCATTAGATATTAGGTAAGTATCATTTATATATCAAACAATCATTTTTCATTGAAAATTGTTGTATAGTATTTTTTTTAATTAAACATAGGAACAACTTATTATTATGAACGTAATAAGTAACTATTCAGTCTTGTATTATGTTCGCTATCAACAAACCCAATAGTGTACGTACGAATGTCAAAGTTCAATAATATCGATAAACACTCATTACTAATAACATACCTATATTATTACATTAAAATAAACAATTGATGTTAGATAACAGTGCCGTACCTAGACTCATCTTATAAGGAAGGAGGAATGTATATATGTCGTATCCACTTAGTGTAATCGTATTTTTCATGAAATGGATGTTCATTTCATGAACTACGATCATAACGTGTAAGTCAAAATTTAGCTCATGAAACGGACATATACTTTATCATTACATTATATTTTATTTTCATGTTTTGATGAGATAATAATCTCGCCTCTTTTTTTTACCACTATAAAATAATGTAAATTTCAAATTATATACAAATATTTAATGTAAATATTCAATAATATTATTTAAATATTTATTATCTAATTTTTAATCCAACGGAATAAAACGTGAACTGCTGCGCGTAAATTTGCTATGTTACGTGTTTGTAAGACAAGCCCTGATGGCTGATCGTAANTAACTGCAATTACATTGGCGAGATCTGACGGTCCTCGATCGACTTTAGGCACTGTTATTAAGACGCAATCACCGATTTTTAAATCAGGAATTCTGGTTTGACTGCCCTAAATACAATGATAGTACAATGATTTTAAACAAAAAAAATAGATTAAATAGGTACAATGAATACGGAATAAAACGTGAACTGCTGAGCGTAAATTTGCTATGTTACGTGTTTGACAAGACAAGCCCTGATGGCTGATTGTAATAATTTTATTTGAAGTGTCTTAATATATAATTTTTATTTACTAATATTTTGTATATTTTAACGATTACTTACATTTTTACTTTTGCTGCTAAAATGTCTTCAATCATTAATTGAACGTCAATTTTGGTAGGTGGCTTTTTCCCAGGCTTGTCTACGTAGTACGCATTTAACTGTTCATAAAATTCAGAAAATGAATCAAATTCCATTTTAAAGCTAATATACGGCTCGCTTCAAGTCAGAGGACGTACTGGCATCATATAAAAATAATATAATATACAGATTTTCCAGAATGCCTTGGTCGTATCACACTTATACAATTGATTCAATTGAATTTTGATTAAATATATATTTNCGGTCGATATCTCATCTTTACAATTTATTAATAATAAATATAGTACGGTGCGATACGTACCAGTATCAATGTTATTATTTCGATTTCACGAAAAGTTACCTATTGATGTAATTAATTTAAAATATTACACAAAGTGCAAAATAAGAGTTTCAATTTCATGAAATGGATAAAATATATGTCCGTTCCATGAACTAAAATTTGACTTGCACGTTATGATCGTAGTTCATGAAATGAATATCCATTTCATGAAAAATACGATTACACTAAGTGGATACGACATATATATATATCTTTGAAAATTCCTTTTAAAAAAAAATATCATGTAACAACTACAACAATATTATTAATAGATACGGCAATCGGACAATACAAACAATTTACGTCTGATGTAAAACACTGCAGGGTTGCGAAGTATTTTAAACAAGTACTTGTGTGATGAAGACATATATACAGTTTCTATGCATTCCTAAAATATACATGATAGTATCATTTCTTAAATTGTTTTTTTGTTATTAAATAATTGTGATAGTTGTATTTATAAATTATAATTAACTTGGTATTACCTATTGTAATATTATATATACAAAAAAAAATATTTAAAACATACATACAAGGTCTGTTCACAGAGTTTCGGGATTATTTAGATCGTCCAAGAATAGTAGGATTGATAGCACTAGATTCTGTCTTCTCTTGAGTACACGTGTTAGTAATTCTCTATAACTTTATTTGTTTTGTTGTAACCTATGTTTTCTTAAACTATTTTTTTTTTTGCATTTGGCCATTTTGTATTAAATCCAAAAGAAGAACTTTTTGGAAAGCGGGAGTTGATTGGAGAACATTTTCCTTTCATTTTGATGATAATATAACGATACAGGGAATGGCTATTATTATGATAAATTGTCAAAAATTTATCATTTACCGTAAGTACTATAAAATTCTTGAGAAACTTGAACTTGGACCTTCCTCCACATTCTCGAGAAAAACTTTCACTCGGCACATCTGCAATTTTTCAGTTACAATTTGTTAGCAAAATTCATGTGAAACGTTGCACTCCTCTATTACCAAACAAGACTCTATCAAAAAAAAATGAAAGGAAAAATCCAGTTTGTCCAATTTATTAGGAAAACTCCTGGGAAAATCAAAAAATAAGCTCCTCAAAGAACCACCCCAATCAGATTTCCTTTCAGAAAAAATGCTACACTTGTAAATCGGAGCAAGATTCCTGTTAGAAATGTTCACGGATAAAAATTAAATATAAACATCATTGTAAAACCAATACATTTTTTACTGCAATCAAAATCTAAAACACGTTTTAAACGAAAAAATTGGTTTTTAAACTGTTTTTTTGTTTTTATTTTTTACAACTTTTGTAAAATATAGCATTTAAAGTTCATAAAATTGACCATTTTTTTTTTTTTTAATATTATCAAATGGCAAAAACAGTACGGATACAGGCGAAAATAACGCCAATAATGATCGCTACGAGAATTTAATGTATATCTGTAAACCATTTCTAACGAAAAACGATTCTGAACGAAGTTCAGTTGATAGTGTTACTTTGTCAACAATACAATTTGTATATGTCATATTATAGTAAAATGATTAAAACAATGTGCGTTTGCATGACAACAATGATTGTTTAAAAAAGATTAAACTAATAAAAACTTAATAATAACAAAAAACTAATAAAAACGGTTCAATGTTCATATTTATTTCAACTAGCACTCCATCTATCTTATAGATATTTTAATATAGGTTGCCAAACAAAAGTAGGTATTTGTTTTACCCCCAAAAATAAGGGTGATAAAAAATAACATAAATATAAAATTGTAGAACAGCTTGTTTCATAAATGTTCTAGAAAACAAATTCCGGAAAAAGTGAATACTTTCCGAGATAATGAGTTTACTCAATTAAATGAATTACCTGTTATATTGATTCAATATTTGTCATGTAGCAATATCATGTTTCAATATTATTGAAATATTTTACTGTTGAGACCGCTGAGTTGTGACCGTGAGTCCGTTGAGACCGCGATACGTACCTATTAACGGCTTACGATTACAGTAGCGATTATATTGTCGGAGAAAAAAAAACGAATAAGTTGAATAGTATTTATGACCATATAGTTAACGAGCATTGTGCCCAGTGGCGTCATTTGGGGAGAGGCGGAGGGGATGTTCGCCCCTCTCTTGTCATCAGCAAGGTTTTATTGGCCGGGTATAGGTTAGTTTTGGGCCACAAGCCTGCGAACATAATTTATGATTTATCTTGCATACGGCCACCCTGAGCTACAGTTTTTTAAGATTTATTTGTGATAATAATTATGATCAAAGACGCCCACAAGGAGGACAAGTGGGCTAATCTGTGGCCTTTTTTGTCCCATGGATTTTTTTTATCTTGGATGATTTTTTTGTCCGCGGCTTTTTTAATTATATGTTATGTCTAGTATGATTAAATTGGTAGGTATTATATATTTAAATTTGTTAAGTATAATAAAGAATAATAATAATATATAAGTCGTGATTTTTAATAATTGTTTAAAGTTCAGAGAAAACTGCCTATAATTATGCAGTAGACTGTAATCACATTTGTTAATTGGTTACTATTATCACAGCTAATTGACTGTAAATATTTTTTCCTAAACTTTAAAATAGTCATGAAATTAATGAGTTAAAATAAAAATGTGTTAACATTTTCAGAAGAATAACTCTATAAAATAATTATCTTGACATTTATCAAAAGCAATAAAATAAGAAGTTATTAATTTTAAGTTTTTATCAAAACATAAAAAATATATTGAAATATAAATACGTTTATTTATCTCTGTGAATAATATTTAAACAAAAAAAAAAACCCATAATTTGGTTATTTTTATTATCTCCAAAGTATAACAATGACGTCAATGAGTACCTACATCTTCGAGGGACACTCTGTATAATAATTATGTAATTACATACAGTAATTATTACTTATTTTATTTTAGGAAAACGCCAAGGATAAAATCCCATACTTTAATTTGATATATTTCAAAATAATTTTGTCTGCTTATTATTGTGATTATAGGTACACATTTTTACCTTACTGGGAGATTTGTCCATGTACAGATAGTGATTCATAATAAATGCTACGACCATTTTATCGTATAAATATTTAAAATAGAGAAATAGAATAATACGAAAGTTTTAATTTTTTTTTTCTGCAAACCAGCTGTCGAACAACAGCTGTCAACAAGCTTTCCCAAAAAATAAAAAAATGATAATTGTTCTTATTTTTACCAAAATTTATTTTGCTATATTAACTAAACCTAAACCCCTAACTTGTAAAAAAAATTAATAAAACAAGATTTGTGCCACTTTCATTATTATATGCTAAATAAACATATTATAATGTATGATGTATTAAGAAGAAAAGCGTATTTTTTAGAATAAAAAATTCATGTTTATCAAAACGATGACGACTAACGCCATAACCATTTAGATTGTACATAAAAGCGTATAATAAAACATAAATAAATACATAATTAAACCGTCAAGTTGAACAATACAATAATTCGATTGGTACAAAAAATATTATTAGTTGTTACAATATCAAACTACTCCAAGTTGTTTGTATATAGTCGGAACGTAATCATCGTATTCGGCCAGATAGAAATTACCGGCCACGGGCGTTCCTAAATCATGCTTCAACGCAAATGATTTGATTGAGAATTTGTCACGCTTTTGAGCAGTTCTATATGTAAACATTTTGTATTACATAGAAACTTGAAATACTTAAAATTTTCAGCGATATATTATCAATTCAAAAAGTTCATGCAACTAAACGTGAATTCACATCCTCAAAAAGGAAAAAAAATGATATTTTAAACAAACATCCAAAAAGTCATAGCTTAAAAGATAGGTTTTTCGTACTACATCGGCTGTCTAATTATAAGCACAGTAAGCCCCATATTTATCGTGTTACGTTTGATTCGTCTTTTTGTTTTTTGTTTTTTTTTTTTTTTTGGGGGGGATANATTTATCGTGTTACGTTTGATTCGTCTTTTTGGTTTTTTTTTTTGGGGGGGGGGATAGAGGTTTATTTTGCTCCTTATTTCCCATAATTTTCATTAAGATTATCCTTTGACGAAAAAAAAAAATAATAAACAAAACAAAACGCTACATTGGAATATCGAGTAAAAACAAATTAAATAAGTTAGGTTAGCTGTATAACTATACTAATATACTATATTGTATAAATATTTAGCGAATTAAATTCCCTATACATATCTTATACCTATACAGTATATTATAGGTAGGAAATACGTATTAACCGGTAATTCAAGCTGGGTAATAAAACTTTTTAACAATATAATACATTTTAATGTACCTACTTATTTACTTCTATTCCAGTAAAGTTCAGTTATAGTGTGGCAATAGGATGTATACTAAAACTCATTATTTTTCGTTAATATCTACCTATTCGTGACGTAGGTACAATATTTGATTTAGTGTCTACATTAATATTGATTTTTTCATAATATAAAAATTATTAACATAATTATTTGATGAGATTGACGTTATCCTTCAGAATAAATGAATGTCATACAAGTATTAATGGGTACCTATATCATATTTTGTTTCACAATATCATTGGTTGATCAAATTAAATCGAATTTTATTTTTGATTTATTATTAGGTACGTTGTAAATATTATTTAAATGATTGCAGAACTAAGGAATAAATTTGTTAAGGAATTTGTTATTCAATGATTTCAAAAATATGTATAAATATATATATAGGTAAGAGGTACCCAAAACAAATCATGTTCTAAAATATATAATTATTTTATTTCAAAAAAAAAAGAACTGATAGTGGGGACGGGTGCAACGACTGTTGTACGTGAGAAATTAGGAAGGTAGGATACATAAAGTTATTCAATTTATATCTACACGCAACAATAAATCATTGCTAACAAAAAAAAAAAGATCCAGAGCGAAGTTTGGTATTTTAAATTACTGTTATTTTTAAAATTGTCAAACCAATTATTTTAATTTTCAAATTACATGCGCTAAAAAAAAAAAATTAATAAACTAGTGGGAAAAGTCAAAATAATTTAAAATTCGAATTATATTGTTATATTTAGATTATGTTAACGATTAGAAAATTATCTTTGTTTTTTTTTTTTTTTTTGAGGGAGCAGTATAAATCGGATAAAAAATATACAGAGAAATAATAAACATATACACTGGAACCTCGATAACTCGAATCGGTTGGGGGCGAAAAAAAAATTCGAGTTATCGAAATATGACGATTATTGCGTTGCTGTGTTTTACGCGTCCCCGTATTTTTTTATTTCATTTTAAGTAAGTAATTAGGTATACATTATTTGGTTTAAACAAATTTAGTATTATCGTTTAGTTTCCAATGTAGGATATGGATTGATTTTTAAAAATGTTCATAAATAAAATAGTGCATTATTAAATAAACAAATTTTGTTGTTTTGAATTGGAATTGATATGCAACCTAAACGTTTAGTCACATGAATTAGATATGTAGATTTACTTAATAATAATTAAAAGATCTGATACTGGGGATGGGAGAGACTACTATTGTAGGTGAGAAATTAGGAAGGGAGGATACATAAGGTTATTTCATCTATATCTGTAAGCAACGATAAACCATTGCTTGACGAAAGATGATTCGGAGTGCAGTTTGGTAATACATAATTTTTGCGATTTTCGTATAAATTTGATTTCAAAACAATTATTAAAAAAAAAAAAGTCATCCGATGATTTTGGAAATTTTACCACGTCTAGGTAAGTCTAATATTATTACGTTATAGTATTATTACGACGTTTCAAATTTCTAAGTATATTTATAAACGAATTATAGCAAAAAAAATTCCAAAAGTTAAAATTCCTTGAAAGCTCAAAAAAGACTCAAAGGTTTTGGCGATAATACCGCTAGAAAGTAAATCAAAAAGGTGTCTTGTGATTTTTCGATTAAATCATTTTTTTTTTTGGTAGAAAACGTCATTCGTGTTTTTATAAAATAATTAAATTTTGAAATTGTACATTTTCCTACGTTTTTTCCCACTTGTGCTTTTATTTAAAAAATGCCGTCGAAAATTAAAAAACGATAACTTCAAAGTACCATCTAGACAACTTAAACTTTCAAAACAGTTGCTACACGAAAAAATCGGACAAAGTTTACTAGGAAAAAACGTGTCCACAGACTAGAAAAAAAAAAAAGAAATAAACATTTTAGTAAAACCAATAGCTCTATCGCTACGCTCGAAATCTAAAATACAACATGAGTGTGATAATATTGTATAATAATACCTGTTGGTTATACGCGGCTCATCATCGAACGTCAACTTCGACGGCTGTTTGTACACCAAAAACACGTAACGATGAAGTCCTGAAAAATGCGTTGGGATTGAACACCATAATTACAATACAATTTTGCTCTCTTCAATTGTATAATGTAGTCGTATTCGGTCTGAAATAATTATTACCTGAATTTGGCCGTGGTCCGGAACCCACGTATTCCGCGAGCATTTCTCCCGCGTTAACATTTTCGCCTGGTACGTTTGCCGCCAACCAATGAAGCCATTCGCCTCCGTTACGTTCCGGACGGTTCGGAATATCAGGGTCTAACGATTTAATAACAATGTAATAAAAAAATAAAAAATGGAAAAATGGAATACACAGATTTATTTAATTTATGTTAATTTGAAATGATGAATCATTGCCAAACACGATTCTGAGCAAAGTTTGATATCGCCAAGTACAACTTATGATTGTATTAATTTTTCAAATATTCCAGCTAAGTCAAAACAATTTTATTCACATAAAAACTAAAAAAAACTCGAAAATGTCAAATGCCTATAAACGACTCAAAAATTGTCCGAGTTGTTTGAAAAATTTGACCACGTCTAGAAAATGTTAATGCAAATATTCTGTAATTATATCAGGTTTCATCGAATTTATTCAACCGAATTGTAACAAAAAGACAAAATATATAGGTAGGACAATATAAATAGGTAATGAATCCATTAGTGCTGTACATTTTCACGTTATTCATGTTTTTTTTTTTAATTATTAAAATAACTACAAGTAAAATAAAAAATTATTTCACAGTAAACTTTTGAATATGTTCAAATTATCGCATATAGACTTACTGGTCAAACATATCGTGTAAAACGAATCAGCATCGACATCCGGCCATTTCAACGACGGTTGGTCTTTCACTTGAGTGGGAGTGAGTACTTTGCCGCAGACCGCTCTCACGCCATTCGGATAACTCACCTACGAAATATAGGTTTGTATTTGTAATTTTTGTTTCTGAAAGACAATAATACATAGGGCAGTCAAGCAATTTGTTTTACTCTTAACAATTGTTTTGGTGCAACGGGAATGACTTCTGGTACGATCAGTTCTTTTTCCATTGCCCGATCAACTTTGAACTTTGATGCAAATACGCCGAGTGCGACGCATAGCTGTGAAATTGAAAATTGTTTAATTACTCCAATGAGACAATATTATAGAAGTCAAAATAAATACTTACTAAACACAACGTTAATTTCCACATATTTGCAGTAAAGATATTTCAAAACATCCGCACTGTCTGTCCACCGTGTAAACGATAAATGGTTGTAAATAATATTTTTAATTTTATAATATACCTACCTACTAGGTACTATACTATGAAGGTCAACGTCATTTTACTATGATTGCAAGAATCATGTTTCAAGAAACGTATTTAACATACCTATTATATTTGTAAACATGCCGGCGTCTATAATTTTAAATTCTTCATTTACTGAAAATGAATAATGTATTTAAAATTATTTAGTATTCATAATAAAAATAATATACTCGTACACTTAATAAATTATATGTACATAAGTATAATAATGAAATATAAATTAATTAATACAATGAGGACCTATATTATTTTGGATCTTAGGAGGACTGCTACATCAGAACACAAACCAGAATTATTTTTGAAAATTAAACACTCACTTTTATTTGATTGTATTATATTTGTCGATTTTCAACGTTTTTCTCAACTATCTTAAAACCCCAGACCACAAGTTAATGTCAATACGTTGATTTCATTTTTATTGATTTCTGGGTTATCACCTACAAGGGAAGAAAACTAATTCATGTTACAACCTTACCAGTTTATCGAGTTCCACTCAGAATAGATTTTTGATTTCAATAATTTATTGTTTGTTTCATTATACAACAGTGGCCTACCAAGGCCAACGTTAGTGATTTTTACTCGTAGGCAAGACCAAATTTTTCCTCTCCAATACAATTCACTAATAGAATTTTAGGGTACTAATATATTTTTTAATGAGCCTAAAAAAACTCGTTGTGCTTTTGCTAATTTAACAAATTATATCAAAATTTAAGTGTCCTGTTTTGGTTCGAATTAAATAAATTATTGGTAGGGATGGGTGAGATACTTCAAAACTTGTAAAAAATATAACAGATCAAACAGTTATTAAATAACGTTAAAGTATCTTACCGATTACTATCACAAGTAGGTATATAATATTTTATTAAATTCAATTTTCATATAACTAATTGTTCAAAATAAATAGTGAATATACATTTTAAAAATGACGGATATAATTCATTCCGTGAGTAGCCCACTATTGTAGATAGGTAATTAGTTTGGAAGGTAAAATAAATCATTATAATCAAAACAATTTCTGAGTTGAGCTCTGTAAACTGGTTAGGTGTGTTTTTTTCTCCAATAACAAAGGTAATTTGGAAATCAACAAAAAATAAAACCAATGTATCGATATTAGTTGTTAGGTTTTTTTAATTTTTAGAAGAATCATATGATGTCTAGAAAAATTACTCAAATAAAGTGATATCGGGTGAAATATCTATATATTTTGAAGTACAATTTGAACAATTGAAAACATTTTTACTAATCGAAAAAGTTTTTTTCTGAAGAAAAAACTAACAATAATATTTAGACACTAAATTTTAAACGTATTCTTCTTGTTTTAAAAAATGTTAAAACTTTGATTAGATCATCAATATCTAAATAATTGGTAATTTGATTTTCGATTGAAATTTTTGCCAACCCTACTAAACGATGTTGAGATATTTTTGATTGCAAATAATTATTTTACTATTTTTCTATTATTAATTTTGATAGTCTTCTTTCTTCTTAAGTAAAATTATTTTTCAGAAATTATTCTATTATTTAAATGTTAATTATTCCGTAAACGATTTTACAAATATTTAATTTGAATACATTATTATTTTAGATTCTACAATTAGAATTATGTTAAATGACTGCGAAGGCCTGAACCTACTCCTCAAACTGGCCGTGCTTATCCCACTGATCAAAGTATGCTCAATTTGATTAAAAACATAAATCAATAATAACAGTATGTCTCGTATAGGTATACATACATATAATATATACATAATTAAACCCATTTGTTAAACCCATTATAATAATGACATGTTGTTTTTTTTTTTCTGTTTTTAAAATGTATACAATATGCATGTATTATATTATTTACCTAGTAACGTATATTATATTATTTTTACATTATAACGAGGTTGAATACACTATAGACAATTATTATAATGATTTGATTTTGATAACTGTATACGTTTAGACTGTAGGAACCTATAGGTACTTCGGAATATTAAAATATTCATAAAAAAAATTACAGTCCTGCAGTGTGCAGTTATTAATTAAATGTGTATTTATTACATACAATTATACCTATACCAAATCGCCGTAGTGGATTAACCTGTTTAGTTTGAGCAAATTCGTTAACTACGTGTTATTATAATCGGCAAAATTATGACGGAAGAAAATTAATTATTATGATGTATAGAATATTTTTCGTTTGGAGATCAAATAAAATATTTGAAACATTAAAAAATAATACAATATTTTATAGTATTATACCCATGTGAGAGATACAATAGTATTATTAATGCTATATTATATTATTTATATCATTTAAACACTTCCCTGAACATTATTTCCGGGTGCTGGGCCATTTCCACGATGTGCAATCCAATAATGTTTACAATTCAAGTAAGTACCTAAATATATTTTGAGTTGTGTACAAATTTCCCTTAACGAAATCCTAATGGCCAATTTTTCCTGTTGACGACGTGTCAACGTAGTATATACTATTATAATTAAATTTTATAATTTGTAAGTATTAACAGGAAAAACCCGATAGGTATTCGATATTGTAGGATATTGTAATAAAATTAAAAACATGCACGTATGTAATAAATCTAAACTTCCGTACATAGAAATATTTCAGATTGTGAAATTTAAAAAAAAATACATTTAATACTTAAGAATTTGTAATGATCATACTGTTTGTAAAATCTAATTTGTATATTGTAAGTTTTGTGATGTGAAAAATGAAAACGTTTCTAGCCTATAACCTACCGCCGAAATGAAAGGAATCAATAAATGAAAAAAATGTTTAAATCAGCCAAGCAGTTTTTGATATTTTGAGAATAGACAGACAAATGTTTCCTCTTTATATTATAGTGAGACAAGATGAGATGCTTGACATGCCGTTAAAATATAAAATTAAATTTAAGTACCAACCCTATTTATCACTTAGTGGTTCTCAAATTATACACGTACCGCTGGTGGTATGAGGTAAGCAATATGGTAGTACGCAGAAAGCCAAGTAGTAACAATTAGTTTAATGAATATTACCTAGGTATTTGTGCAAATGTTTTTAATAGATCTAATAATTTTTTAAATTTTAAATTTTTATAAGGTTAATTATATTTAAGTATTTCACTGTCTTATGCTCTTATCATTTTGAAACAAATATTTAGATCCTTCTGATATTTACAAATACCTGTTTTTAGAAGGTTAAGGACACAAAACAAACACTTATTAGCTTTTCGTAATTTACTCTTATTTTTTGTCATTCATTCTTCTGAAATAAATTAGCTAAATAATTGAAGATTATGATAATTATAAAAAAAAAAGTAGTGTGTAAAAGTTTACACACTACAAATTTGAAATTAAGATTTTTTTGTTTACGACTATAGTTTTATTAAATAAATGTTTGAAAGTTTCCGCCTAGGTGTTCCAAACATGATTCCAAATGGTTTAAAAATTCTCTTGATGTGGTAGCATTTATTTGGTCTTCTATCAAATTATTACATTGGGCATTATAAGGAGGATCTGCATAAACAATAATTTTTAAATGACCCTATAAAAAGAAATTAAGTATTTATTTATGTCTTATCAGTCTACAAACAAGTATTTCTCAATATCGGAGATATCATTTAGATATTCTAGTATAAGTTGAACATAGTTAAAATTTCATCAAAAACAAATAATTCATAAATATTAAATTTCAACATACTATAACTTTGCCAAATTTGTAATTAGCAAAAAACTTTTTATATAAAAAATGTACTATCATAATCAGTGAAAAAAAAGTTGTTTCTATTTAAAAAAAAAATAAGTAGTATTGCGCATATGTGTACAGATAGTTAAAAATTTGAAATTTTTACAAATTGTTTTCTACCAGAAATGTTCCTCCAATAAAAATTAACAAAGAGATAGATTTTGTTTCTTTTACATATTATGACCATTAACAAAGAAAGTCATTTTTTAAGATCTAAAGAAATTTTATAAAAATTGGGAAAAGCAAAAAAAAAAAACGAAAAATACATTATTTTTTAATTACGATGCAACAATTTCATTTTTACCATTGGATACAGATATAAATGAAATAATTTTGTTTGTGGTATTCTATTTTCCCAAAATTCAACAGTGGCCACATTTGTCCTCAGTATCAGATTTTATTTTTGGCTGCACATTGTACATCAAGTCATTTTACAATATTTTGAAACTTCGCAAATTTACATTTTATTTAAGCAAGAACTTGTACTAAAAACTTCTGTGTGTATCTATGCTATACTACACCCTGTAGTAAACAATGTGAACAAAATATCTGTAGAATAATTTTAGTTCTACAGTTAAAATTATTTAATTTTTTTACTTATGATTTATGAACCTACCCTGAATACCAATCTAGAAATTTTTTTTGTGCCTTACTACTGCATTTATACATTATACAGGTAGGTTGGTATACAAGGTACAATAAATATTTAAGTTGTTAATATTCCTATTTGTATTAATGTAGGTATCATATTATGGTAAATATTTAATTTTAATTTATAACAATATATATTACTATACTATTACTATAGTAACTCTGATGCCCGGACAAATTGTTCAACAAATAAATTTGTATTGCAGAACAATTAAGTTGTAGAACCGAGAGTTGGAAATTTATTTTTAAAAAAATATTATATTCCAGTTGTACACAAAAAATGTTGAACAAAAATGGCTCATTATTATTTATAACATCTTAAGTAGATTTTCTTATTGTCTCATAAAATGAATATTGGCTGTGCACCTAATAATTTATTATTTAAATAAGTAGAATTTATTCATTTATTTAAGAGTATTCTACTAAATAATTTTGTTTTTACTTTATTAAATATTTTCAAATGTGAAGAGTTAAAAAATTGAATAAGTACTAAGCAAATAACATCATCATTTATGATGCATAAAATCAAATTTATTTTTAGTTTTACCATACTCATTTATACAATTTAAAAATATAATACTGTTATCTAAGTTGTCATTGTGATAGTGTTATGGCCGTTACAGAAGAGTGTGAGTGGGCAAGAAGCAATTAGATTAATTCCAGGTGTATAAGAAATTGAGAGAGTATTGTAGCATTCGACCCATGTGATTATTTTTACTCAGTATTTAATTGTTTTATGAGCAAATATCTTGAACATGCTAATTGAACTACCTCCTAGTTATGTTTATATTTTTTAATTCATTTATTTAACAATATCTTATAAAAGTAACAATTTTGTTACTTATTTTTCAAAATATAAATACTAATATAACATCAGTCCTTGATATTTAATTATCCAACAATTATGTATTTTGTGCAGCAGGTCGCTTATGAGGAAGTAATGGTACGTAATCGTCATATTGAGCTTGATAGAAGTTACCAGCAACAGGATTTCCCAAATTGTATTTAACTGCAAATTTAGCAATAGAAAATTTCCCACGATTTTCACCAGATCTAAAACAGGAAAATATTTAGACTCAAAAAGTATATTTTACATTAATAAACTACTTGTTTGTTAAATATGGTTCGTTGAAAGTCAATTTTGATGGTTGTTTGTAAACTAAGAACACGTAACGGTGAAGTCCTGATAATAGTAATACCAACGTTTTAATACAAAAATTTCATTTTTAATTTATCAAATTATTACCTGTGCCAAGAGGTGGACCTGACCCTATATACTCTGAAAGAATTTGACCTTTACTAATATCATGACCAGGAATGTTTCCAACAAGCCAATGGTGCCATTCTCTAAACGTGTGTTCCTCGCGATTTGGAGCATCAGGATCTGTAAAAAAATAATAGTAACAAATCTAAGAAAGTAGAAAACTAATGAAGTTTTATAAAACTTATAAATAAAATTATTTTATAAAACACACAAAGTGATTAATCTTCAAAATTAAAAAATTATTTTATTAATTTTTTAATTCATAACCACTAAAATGGTTCTTATAATAACGAAAAATGAATTAAATACAGATTATGAAATAAATTATTAAATAACTAAGTATTATTAAAGAAATTTGAAAAATTAAAAACATATCAAACAATATACATTTTTATACCTGTCATACAAAGTGTATAAAAAGCATTTGGATCAGCAGGCCAGTTTACTGAAGGTTCATATTTTACTTGAGTAGGTGTAAGTTCGTTACCCATATTAACACTCACTCCACTTGAATAAGAAACCTAGGATAACAGTGATAAGAATTTATATAAGACTATGAAAAATTTGAATAGAATAACGCACAATCTGACACAATTCCATTTATCATCTCTTATAACAAGGAGAGATACCATGGTAGTATTTTATTTCCTTCACACACAGAGAACGGTATTGTCAACTACAACTTGTCACTATTACTTGTAAAAAGTGAATTTATCCACCTTACAGAAATAATACCATTTACCTACTGGAATCACCCACCTGGACTTTCCACCAGTAAGAAAACGAGGTCCCGAGTTTGCTAAACCTGTAACATCATATGTCTCACACCCCGAGGTTATTAATTCAATTTTAAATAATTTGTTGTACTTAAGGTAAGTAGTTTTACAGAATTAAATGTTTTACAAAATTCCTGAGAAAAACACCTAGTATTANGTTTCTAAAATCTCGGGTTTGTTAATGACATAAAACTATATACTTTTATTATTTCACTGGGTGCAACGCTGATAACGTCCGGAACAATTTCATGTTCATTCATAGCTGTAGTGATGGATTGACTAAAACAACTTAACAACTGACAAGTCAAAACACTGAATGCAATACTCCAACTATAAAACACTTAAACATATCACTAAATTAGGTACATTGAACATACGCACTAATAACAATAGCTTACTATTGGCTTATTTTAACTATGTTAACTTGTTGCTGAACCCTTTAATAAAAAACTGTGTACAATACAAATACTAGTCCCACCCCGGACACGACGGACTGTGATAAGGATAACTAATAAGTGATAAAAGTAGTTTTTATATTATAAAAACAAAACATGTTTACCTATTCTTCCATAGAGTATTCAATGTACCCGTCACAGTTATAGATTTATAATCGTACTACGTACCCTGTTACCATAATTATTAATATTTAATATCAAGAACACTATCCATGTTGCACATTTCAATACATATACCTATACTTGTCACTCCTACTTGTCGCTCCTGAACGTACGGAATTGTATTTACGAGACATTCGGTTTCCAGAAATTGGGTATTAGCGGTAGGACGATTGGTCCCTAAGGTACATTGACTATTCACTATATTACTATAAGAAGTTTGGCGTATCGTTTTTTGAAATTATTATTAAAGGGATTGAAAGCGGTAATTCTTTGTCTTTGTCTTTGACGTATTCTATTATTACGACCGCAGCGTACCGATAGGTCTATAGTGAAGCGATAAGAATTTTGAAAACAACTTGAAATATTTTGTAACTTTTGGAGAAATTAAAATCAAAAAATATAAACTGTCTGTAATATACAAATGCAAAGTTTATAGAAATAAAATAAAAAAAAATTTAGGATTGACCATCACAGTATATTCACAACACTGTGGTTCTGAACTTAAGAACATACATTATAGCTTATTAAATTTTAGCATTACAGATAGTAAGTATTTAAAATTAACCAAATTTGAATGATAATGAACAATGAATGCAAAAACAATCAAGTATTTTCAATTTTTTTTTTCTCTGAGCAATTTTTCTACTAGAAATTGTGCCCCAATCAAAAATTAACAAATTATTCGGTTTAATTGTTTTAAAATCTTTTTTAAACAATCAATGTTGTCACGGAAGCGCAAATTGTTGTAATCATTTTACTATTATATGACGTATATATTGTTGAAAAAGCAACACTATCAACTGAATTCCGCTCAGAATTGTTTTTTCGTTAGTAATGGTTTAAAGTTGCTTACCGAAATACATCAAATTCCCGTCTGTATCCTAACTTCCCACCTACAACAGTGGCTGTTCCCACGTGCGAAATATGTCAGTATTTTTTCAAATATATATTTAGATATGTAGGAAGTATGTCAAAAGTTAAATAAAGTTATTTTATTTGTTAGTTACATTGTTGATGTTGTTTAAGATAATTATTAATAATAATTTTTTATTGTAGTAGAAATGTATAACCGTATAGGTATGTAGTTGTCAAAGTAGGTAAAAATCAGTTATTCAAGTTTTAAGCAAGTGAAACGATCGAAAAACTTTGAACTGCCTATTTATTTACAATCTGTAACACTGCCATTTATAGACATAGATTATAACAATTTTACAACTAATAACTTATTAATATGGTTTAAGTTCGAATTTTGCCCCCCCCCCCAAAAAANTTTATAGACATAGATTATAACAATTTTACAACTAATAACTTATTAGTATGGTTTAAGTTCGAATTTTGCCCCCCCCCCAAAAAAAAAAAAAAATGGATATGAGCTAAATACACCCCAGAGCATATATAATGTATAAAATTAAAATAATTGTTTAATATGCTGTTATTTAATTATTAATAAGATGATGAAGCTCCTCATCGAAATTAAATTGTAAAACCAATATTAACAATTATCCCGCTCTAAATAATTACAAACATGTAGAAACCGTCAATAATTACTCCGTCAAATGACTCAGCATTTCGAAGAAAGTGCATTATGTCAGTGGCGTATTTGAGGGGGGGGGGCGATGGATAGATCCCCCTCTCCATGGAATTTTTAAACTGTGATTTTTAACCTAACCTTGTAGAAGCATTATACAACATATACGATTATGTAAAGATATTAAAACAAATGGAAAATTCAAGTAAATAATCGATGTAAAATTAATTTGACCTTCCTAATAGTTGTACAGTTAATAATATATGTAATAATTATGTCATATAGGTATATAATGAAACTTTTCATATATTTAAAACTGTAGTGAGTAAATAATTTTAGGTCCATTTGTCAGTTACTCGGCAGACAGTTTAAACGCTCGAACTTATATTTAAAGAACAAACATGTGGAAATTGACCGCACTGTGTGTGGTAGGTATAAATTAATTTTGAAATATCACTTGTTAAAATAATTCTAAACTAAATCTGCATATTGTAGGTTTGCATATGCAGTGTTGAATTCAGACAACTTTTCTGGGAGGAAGGGCCGGGCATTACTAAAATTATTATAGAAATGTCCTTTTTTTGCTTATCTGCTCTCTTACTAAAACCGGTCAAATTTGTTTTATTATTTTAATTTATCCACATTTAATCAGAGGCAAACAGTTTTTGAGAATGTGCTATGGCCCCCTGACATATGTCTGGATTCAACACTGTGCGTATGTGATATCCTGTAAATACTAAAATTATATTTATTTTCTACTATGGGAACTATACGATGTAAGAAATTTAATTTATTATTTATTTGTATTTCGAGTGTACATTGAATGTTTTTATTTATTTTGTTTAAGTAGTTAACTAAATTTTCTGCTTGTTTATTTGACCCTCTAAATAAAATGAAAACGGCATAAACATACCTATATCTATAATATGTTTTTGCACATGGACTGTATATTTTGTTGTTAATAATATTATTGATTTCAAAATTTCAGATAAAAGAACATTTAAACACAATAGAACTATTGTTTATATCTAAAATGTATAATACTGTACAGTATTAATGTGTACTAATAAAACAAAATATTTAATAAA